CTTGCGCTGGGGGATTGGGGGCCAACAGCTAGTAACAACTGTCAGCCCAAAAACATCATTGAAACTCTTTTAGGCCCAATTGGAGTCTGCGAAATCCAAAGCGATTGAGAAGGATGAGCAATCGCACCGAAACATAATGACAATGGCTCCACTTTACGGCATTATTCGTACTAGTGATGGTATTAACGATCAAAATAACTCCAAGGTAGAATTTCTTACTATTATCTATTTACTGGAGCAACATCACCGCCTCCGTCGATACAACAACCATACCACAAGAAGGATCTGTCCAAGAATCTCAATTGATATATCTATGCTCGGATATCTCTTTTTGAGCAAGTCAATCTTGTGTCCAACTAGAACAGTCTTCATTATTGCGACATTCTTTGCATAGAGAGGCGTAGATGTGATACTGGACGCTCACTCACGATTTCAAGATGCGAGAAAACGGAGAAAAGAAGATAACTTTTGAACATGTGGTGCCAAAGAATGTGATTGCAATGGGAACGGAGTCAAGAGTGCACTCAGGTGGAAGGATACTGAAACGAGCCGTCCGTCACACTTTGGATCCTGGTACGCAATGAATCGATACTGCCAAATTCATCTTCGGTTATTTTCAAGGCGATCCTTGCTTAGTTGTTCTGGACCACGAAGTGAAAGCTTCTATGCGGAACACTGAATACTCTGTTGAATGCGATTTCACTGCAGAACATCTTGTTGACAGTACGTGCGAATGTAAAACTGTATGCAAGAACAAATGCTTGAAGAATTTGGGAACGGAACGAGTACTTTGCACCCATGGGCTTGTTCCACTTGTTCAACTATCGCAGTTGCAAAAAAGTTTCTTGGCTTATGACCTGCTGTATGAACTGCGAATCCGTTTGGTTATAGATGAGGATGGTTTCTCTCAATTGAACCTGGAAAGCGGAGAGCGGAAAATTTTCAGAGTGGCATTGGAGCAACTTATTTTTGCTGCAACAACAGAGGACGTATCACTGGACCCTTCCAAGACCTTTTTGGAGTGGCTTTCTCCATTTTGAGTTGGCACTGATGAGGCAAAAAAAGCCAGGGGAGAACCAAATCCACAAGACTTGGGACCTTTGCGAGAGAAGATGCCAAGATATGAGAGTCCAGAGAAGAAGACAATGAAAACTCTGAAGAAAGAAACGAGGGCATCAGTCCCAAATCAATCTACCCATGAAGAGATTGCCATACAAAGTGGAGGATGTTGTGTTGGGGAATCAGTCATGGGATGACATTAGCAAGCGATTGATTGCAGCAGCAGGGCTTATGTACACTTTGGGAACACTGGCACACCAAAAAGAAAGAAATTGGCGGAGGCTGAGGATGTTGTGAACAAGAGGAAAGAAGAGGAGACCAAGCCAAGTGTCAAACCCAATGATTTGACTCCAAACGAAGTAAAGCGCTGTACAGGGTTTGACAATTTACCCAAGCTGCTTGCCTATGCCATGGTGATTTGTGATGGTAGTTTGGATCGTCTCTTTGCGACATCGTCCAAACTCACTTGGGTTGACGAGTGGTTGTTCTATTTCGAGTTCAAGTATGGTCGGACTGCTGTAAGAATGCAAGACTTTGAGAAAGCATACAGGAGCTCAGAATACCCCCTTCAAAAAGTCCTGAAGCAAAAGTTATCTCTTGAGAATGGAACACGCAATCGGTGGCCTATGTATGCTACCTACGAAGAAGATGCAAAGTTTTGTGGCGAACAATGGGATTTCTACTTTGATCGGCAAAGTGGGGAGAAAATTGTTACGCATGATGCAACTGGAATTCCTCTGCCATGTCCTTCAAATGCAGAGCTTCAACGAGCACTTTTCAGTGACTACTATGGTACTACATGTGCCAAGGCAGGAGTCAGCAACCAACTTTGTGGTTGGATGCGAGGAATGCCTTTAATGACCGGTAGAATCACAGATTCTCAGATGATAAAAGACTCAGAGGTACTGGTGCCACAACGGAAGTTTTCAGAGGCAGATCATTCTTCAGACAAACCATTCAACAATGTACTTGACAAAGGATTCCGAAACACGCTTGATGCAAGCACGGAAGGCCAACGTTGCATGCAACCGAAGTACTAAAAAGGTGATATCAAATTTACTGGAAAGGCAACCCTGCACTCTGCTTGTATTGCTGTGATACGATCTGGAAATGAGCGTGCTGTAAAATGTCATGGTTCTTGAAAGGTGGGTGTGCATACCAACTGTGGGATACTCATCTATTATGTGACATTTGGGACACTTGGACATTTAAAGTGAACTTCATTTGCAATAAGTTCCTCTAGATATCTGTTATCATTACTGGATCTTCCTTCTTATATTGTTTGATAGTCCAATAATAGGCTGAGTGGGGGAACCCCCTTGTAGGACAGTTGTTCAATTTGTACTAAATACAAGTGTTTTCGAATGGAAAAGTTCGTGCTTCGTCCGTGTTTGCCCCAACTTTTTTGGCCTGAGGGGGGTCTGTGTGAATCTAATGGATTTCAGGTAGGATCGATATGAATGTGTAGTTAAGTTATAAAGAAAGATATAGTTGATGAGTTGTGATGTCAAGAGATCTCTTCTCTTGACGTCCCTTCTTGAGGTCATTTTTCATTCTCCCACCTTCCTTTAGGACGGCGTACAGACTCTATGTTCGAATATTCCGACACTCCCTCTTGGGAAAGGAAGTAATGGCCAAAATGTTACCAACTGATAAGAAGATAGCGGAGAGCAATGAAAGTGGCAGCGTCGAGTGGTTTTGTTCCAATATCTGCCAATTGATCCTTTGTATCAATTTTCTGAATGGAAACATCCCCTGTGCGGTTTGCCCTCTTGAAGTGATGATACTTGATATTGATGTGTTTGGTCCGCGGGCAAAGTTTGTCGGCTGTCGCGAGTTCGATTGCTCCATTGTTGTCTTAAAAAGCTTTACATTTGAAGATTGGTTTGGTATAGCTGAAAGATTTGACCTTTTTTGCAAGTTCTTTGAAAAATCGGATTAGAACGATCACAGTTTGCAGCGCCTGGAAAAAACAGATGTATTCAGCCTCCGTGGTACTTAAAGCGATTTCCGTCTGCATCTTGGAATGAGAATAGATCAAGCAATTGTTGAACATGATGTGATAAGCTGTTCGCAATTTCGCAGTTGCTGGGTCCTCGGCGCTGTGCTTATTGAATCCGCCTGCAAAATCCGCGTCCACATATACTTCGAAGCCCTTTCCAGGTTTTGGCTTCATGAACATACCTTTATCGCGTGTGTCGCGGAGGTAACAACAGATTCTTATTATGGCGTCCTCGTGTGATCTCTTGGGATGCGCCGCTGGCTGTTGCTGTTGCGCCGCTGGCTGTTGTGGTGCCGCAGGTTGTTGTGGTGCCACAGGTTGTTGTTGCCTTCGCCAGCTGCAATGTTGTTATTTCCTGCGCCAGCATCGTCTCCTTCTCCCTGCACCAGATCCATGTTGATGTCTGGGGCTGCTTCGGCTTGAGCGTCTTCTTGGTTATCTGCTCTTTCGCCTTGTCCTCGGAGTTCTGCTATTCCCTCAGCAAATCTCAAAGGTCGCCTTCTATTGGTACGCTGGGGATTACGACAAGGAGGGTCCACTACCATGTAGTTTCAATTCGATTCTATTAGACGCAGAGGGAGCGTGTGTGAATCTAATGGATTTCAGGTAGGATCGATATGAATGTGTAGTTAAGTTATAAAGAAAGATATAGTTGATGAGTTGTGATGTCAAGAGATCTCTTCTCTTGACGTCCCTTCTTGAGGTCATTATTCATTCTCCACCTTCCTTCAGGACGGCGTACAGACTCTATGTTCGAATATTCCGACAGGGTCAATCAACAAAATTTCTTTGCTTTGAAATCGGTTCTACCGGTACTCTACTATACTACGTACGGCCCATATGAATGCTTTTTAAAATGTTGACTAGAGATTTTTACCAAGTGAAATTGAGAGCTACAAGCATGAGGTAGATGTAGCTCTAGTGCGTGCAGCATTGACGTGACCAGCACCAATTTTTGCTATCAATCTCTTCGTGGGCAAGATAGCCACCTGAACCCCCCAAATTTTCCAGAGTAGAGTTTCTTCTGTTTTAGCCTTTACGGCACGTTGCGCACCATTTGCAGACCATACCCTGTACACTTATATCTTGAAATCTTGTGACTACTGTATCAACTTCCCGCATCGTTCATAGGTCAATAAATTATAATTGCGTATTTTTTAAAGACTCGTGGAAACATTTTGAATTCATCAATTAGACAGTTCCTTCAGCAATGCATTGTACCCAGCCTTTGCCTTTCCGTTGCTCGATAAATTTGATATCATCTGCTGCTGGGATTTGAGAACATTAACCAGTTTTGGTCGGATAGGCTTGACATTGAATAGAGAAGCTACAATGAAAGCCCCACGATTTGAACTGGCGACTTTCATCAGATCACCCTGTAGCCGTTCGAAGAAGGCAGTTGCAAAGATTGGGTCGTCCCTTGTGGAATCACAAACAATCAAATTCTTTATAGCCCTATGCCGATTCGGGTCTTCGAATACTGAAAGCTCGTCGTCCGGGGCCTCTTTGTTGATGGCTGATTCACAGATCTCCATGATCGCATCAACAAGCTCTTGGGTCCCAAAATTGTTGTAAACCTCTTTCAATAATCTGGAACCAGGGATAGAATCGAGCAGGTTATTTGCGTTCGCAATGCACATATCAACAAGCTGTTGCTTCATGTGTTTGAGCAATTCGTGTCTTCTTGCACCAGGTTCCTTTTTGTACGTGCAAACGCCGTTGATTTCAGGGATTGGCTCCAAGATCGATCGTTCGTAAGGATCGAAGTACTTCATTCTACTCTCGCTATCCGGTGCTAGCAGGAACAAAAAGAATTTCGATGCGGTGTCACTCGATGCAAGATCAACCAACACTTGTTCGCCTGTTTCCTCTTCTTTCCCCTTTTGCTGTGATGCAAGAATCTCGTTCAAAATACTTTTTTGAATAGAAACCGTGTCGTCTGTTACCTGTACTAAGCGAATGAGAGCAAGATACGCATCTCTGTGCATTAGAGAAGAGGCTGTGTAGCCTTTCAGACTCTTGCAGACACGTTTTCTATCTTTCGGGGTGCCATAAGAAGCAATGGAAGCAACGACTCGCGCACCAGCTCTCGTCGAGAGCAGATGAATTGAATGGTCTGCCAATGCCGGTGCCATTTCTTGAATATCACCAGGTTCAGAAACATCCATCAATTCAGCCAATAATCCCTGAAAAAAAGTATAGCCGAAGAATGACTTCGATATCCCTTTGCTGATAATTTCCTTCACAAACGTCATGGCAGAGTCCTTCTGATTTTCAGTCGTTGCAGATTCTAGATTCGACTTGAGTGTTGGCACTTCTTTAAAGCCACCAGCGAAGAGGCTAAAGTGCGGTCCATAGAACTCTTGCTTCAGAATTGCCGTTTCTTTCGGAGGAAAATTAACAAAAATGGATTCAACTACTCTAGAACCCACAGCATGGACTGCGAGTTTTGGAATATGGCCCTTGAATGTCTGGTGTAAGTTCATGACATCGAAATGGTTGGAAGAGAGTAAAAAGTAGAAAGATCATTGGCACGTAAGTCAATTGTTGCGACAGAGATGGGAATGGTATTTTTGCCGCCTACCTTTACTATCATTTTCACGCATTCACGATCCTTCGCGCAATACTTGATAAACTTTAAAGCAAGAAAATGGGCGTATTGGATCTTTGAGAGCTCCGGCAAACAGTCGCCTTTTTGAAGTATCTCGAGGAGCAACTCTTTGCGTTGTCTATCGGAACCAAACTGAACAGCTGCTTGTACCACACGACTTGCATCGTGCTGTAGGCTAATCTCGTTAACTTTTCCTTGAATGAGTGTCATCACTTGCTGCATCAGTCCCTTGATTTCTTCAGGGGTATTTGACTTGAGTCTTAGTTTGTTCCAAAGTCCTTTTGCTTCAACTACTGCCTCTGAATGTCGGCGATTCGACTGTCGGTCTTTTTTCATTTCCCGTTTCTGGGCACTACTAGATTTTTTATTTTCTTCATTCCTTGGTTTCTTGGAGCTACCACCTGGGTTCTGCAGTAGCTGTCTCTTGCTCATTTTCTTTCCGCTTGATTGATTGGTACACCGGTATGAAACTTGTGTGAAAAGTGGTTGGTCTCTCTCGTCTTGCCTTTGAGCCGTGTGCGCTATGTGATGCGTCGGTCAGACTGATTATTGCGTTGCTCGACTCGACTCGCTCGACTTTTCAATTTATGATTTACTGACTCAGAGCTTCGCGTTCATCGAAGACGAGCAATTGTACTTCCACAAGGTAGCTCCTCTATTGTAGTCTTTCTTCGAATGAGAACGCTTCAGACAGTATTGAGTTGGATGCTAGTTACACATTCCTGTTCCTTTGCGCGAGCCTTCAATCGAGCATTTTTCAGCGGAAAAATAAGAAGAATTGACTACCAATCGAATCGGCTCCTCTCAACTCTAGCACCGGAAGGAATTATGAATTCGACTTCACAAGATTTTCAGTACCCAATTGAAATGACAGAAGAGGAAAAATATATATTTGATTTAAATGGATTTATTATCGTCAGAGGTGTTCTCGATAAAGAAGAAATCGAAGAGGCAAACAAAGCGATAGACAATCACACAAGTGAAATGGTCGAACGTTCCGATCAAGCTCTAAGAAATGCAAAGAAAGGCACCAAGTATTATGGACAAGGCCCCGGGCGATTGGATTTAGGACGCGTCCTTGAATGGGGTCAAGAGTCAAAGGTGTAAGCTTGAGATGCCCACGTACATCATTGGATTTTTTGGATTTTTCCCCGCTACTCTCTTTCCTCGTTCTTGCTACTAATTTACTATTTCTTTTTTTTATGATTCGTTGGGCTCTGTCAGATTTAAATCCATTCTTGCCCATCCCAGATTGGTGCCTCTTTTTCATGGTATTTTGGGAAAGGTTAGTTTTTGTTTCTGGAAACACGATTTGCAGACGTGAGTTTGTTCTGACATGGATCTACAAAACCAAAAGGGATATCGCATGGATCACTTGCCATTCGTTTTAGCCCAGAACCGGGGATCAGAAGGTTTTCAACTTCATGGAGGAACTATCGATTGCCAAAGGTCCGTTTTTTTGTTTTCGGGAAACACGTCTGCAACCGTGAATTTGTTCTGACATGGATCTGCAAAACTACTACGTCTGTGTCATTAGTGGCGAGTACAATCCTTTCTTGGCCTACACTTGCCAACACGGTACAATCTCCACTGCACTGTTAGGGTGCAATGTTATTCTATCGGACCATAATGCTGGTAACGGTGGCTTCTGTGTCGTTCCAGGATCCCACAAATCACACTTCAAAATGCCAAAGGGAATGGTCGATGGAGAACGATTTGAAGAGTTTGTGATTCAACCACCCACCAAAGCAGGCGATGTCATCTTGTTCTCGGAAGGAACTGTCCATGGAGCAAAGCCTTGGACTGCCGACCACCAGAGGAGAACATGCTTATATCGTTTCTCACCAGCAACAAATGTCTATGGACGATCGTACTTTGGACACGAAGGTGGTGGTTGGCCAAAAAGAGCATATGAAGATTTGACCCCGGCACAAGAGGCGGTCCTGGAAGCTCCGTTTGCGAATCGCTTGGATCGACCGAACATCAACCCTGATGGATCCGTGGAAGTTACTACAAGAAGTGAACGCAAGAAGCAGCATGACCAAGACGTCTTTGGCACGAAGTATTTTTAAAAAAATGAAATTGTTGAAATAATCCTACCACGACCTGGTACTGTACCGCCTCTATCTAGTATGTCCACGTCTGTCAGCAACCGAAAAATCACACATTTCGACATCGATGGAAAATAGAAACAACCCACTTTGAAACCTGCACAGTCCAACCGCATTACTACCAGAAGACAGAGTGAAATTTTTTTTTTCAAAGTGACAAGAAATTATGTCCAATGCTGCAAAAGGAGGAGGAGATCCATGGGCGTGGCTTGGCCTTTTGAAATGGAGCCTGAGTTACTCAGATGGGACTCGTAGCAATGGCGACATTGCACCGATGTCGAAAGAAGATAGAGAGTTTTTGGAGAAGGTCATGGCCGAGGGAATCATAGACGAAAATGAAAGGATGAAGTTTATTTTGCAGGAGTCCACAAAGGCGATGGAACACTATCGATTGAAGGCGATGGGAACACATCCAGACTCGGATCCACCAATCTCAGATGACGATCTAGAAGATCTGCTACAGGAATTGCGAGATATTGTAGAACAAATTGATTACGCGAGGGCCTTCTGTTCGCTGAAAGGCCTCCCTTTCTTGATTGGTTGTATGGAGGCCAAGAATATACCGGAGAACATCAGAAATCAATGTGGAGGAATCCTTTCCACGCTAGCTCAAAATAATCCTCACGTACAGAAGCAACTTCTTGAAGTCGGTGCGATTAAATCCTTATCCGGTAAGAACATCACATAACGCCGCGCAGTCGGCACCACATCTCACATCTCATGCACGATGTAAATAGATTTGTTCTTTCTTGACGATACGACAATGAAGATGAAAGCCAAAATCATTCAAGCTATCAATGCTATCGTGCGAAATCACGAACTAGGAGAGCAGGTGTTCTGCAAACTTGACCAAGCTCAACCCTTGTTTACCGAAGGCCTAAAGAAATCTTCTTCTCAGCAGTTGCAGTCGCGAACGTTATTCTTCCTACGAGCCCTTCTCACTTCTGATGCAGGCGATACGAAGAGGTCACAGCTCTTCGAACCTGCAATATTGTTCGTTGCTGAGAATTATTTGGGTGAATCTACACCTTCAGATCTCCGTGAATCGGCGGTCGAGCTGCTAGAGCAACTTTGGGAGCAGAACAGAGTACCAACGACTCTCCTTGAGAGGAAGCAAGCATTGGTGGCGTTTGGTGTACAACGGATATCATCTCTTCGGTTGCTAGAAGGCGATCATAAAGAGTATGCCCTGGCCGAGTTGGAGCACTGGGAATCTTTCCTAGTTGTGTTGGCACGATCATAGACAATTGTAAGCAAACAAATTGGGTGTCAGCTTGGGATAACAATTATAGAAATATTGTTCATTCCATGAATGACTGACTGACGACTGACACTAGAGTTCATAGAGCACATCTTCGCTGTGAAGGAGACATTTTAGCAAAGGATAGTCCACATCATCGTTGAGCTCCTCGGACAAGTTGATGTCCCATTCGAGGGAGGCAACAAGCGCACGATGGGCATCTGAAAAAGCGCGTTGCACCTGAAAGATCCGAAATGCATTTCTTCCAACATTATTTCGTGACGAAAGTGGGTCTTCGACAAATAAGGGATCAAAGGTGAAGGGTCTGCCATGCTCATAGTGTTTATTCAACTTTTCGGTGTGAGCAATGTTGTGGCTGACGTATCTGTGACCTGTACCCAAACGAAGGGGCCTGGCAGGACGTCGGATATCGTCCACACTCCCTGCGTCACTGAAACTATTGCGGCGCAAAAAATCGCGTGGTGCCTTGGCAGGGGAACCCGAAGCTGCGTGCGTTTGATGAGTTGGGGATGGTGGAGGCCACATCCCATCACCGACTTCAAAATAGCTTACAGCTGAGTAGTTTGGTCGAACAAAATACTGTCGCCGCCGTACGCTTATTCCTGTCGCTCGAGGATCAAAAAAGTTTCCGTAAAAGTCTAGGAAGCCCATAAGCAGAGAACCGCAATCTCCATACGACGACGGTTGCTCCTGAAGGTATCTAGCCACCATCAAGAACAAGCAATATGAAGATAATCCACCTGTGTAAGCTGTCAAGAGACCTCTATCAAGCAGAAACTGTTTCAGCACCAATACCAATGGTCTGATCAATGGGAGTTCTTCAAGGATTTGGCTGACCATTTCAACCGCGGCTAACCCATGATGTTCGGGACTGTCGAAACTAATATCAAGTTGCAGGACACGAGCCCTCGTATCTTTCGTAGAGACCTTGATGACCTTAAGAGCTAAAGGTGTTAGATTCGAGTCTCTATCGCAGATAAACGCATTTGAATGATAATCCAATCGCTTACCGGAACCACAGTCCTCTCAATTAGTTTGATCGAACGGGGATCGATCCATGATTCTCCCTTCAATTCGCGTGCAAGAAGTTTCTGGCAACTTTCATTAATCGCATTTCTACCTTCCAGTACGCCAGGAGCAAGAGCTGGAGCGTTCTTGTGAACTGCAGGAAGACAAACAACAAAATCAAGGTCGCTAGACGGCAGGCAAACACCAGACACATGGCTGCCGTAGAGTTTCACCTGAGCTCTAGGCCAGAGGGTGTCAACTAAGCGAGAAAAACGCTCGACTGCCACTCTTCTCTTGTTCCCTTGCTTCTGCAGCTGCGTTTGAGTTACGTTGAGAAATCTCATGATATCCTTGGTCAGCCTCGATTGCAATCCATGGACAGGTGATGCCTCGAATTCAGGTATCCTTCCAGCCAGCCCACCTTGAACAACACTGGCTGTGATTTCAATAGATGTTTCAGATTCAGCAACTGTAGCGGTGGAGGAAATCTGCTTTGTTGCATCCACCCGAGAACGCGAAATTGCATCGAACCCGTCATCTTCACTAACTTGGGACTCGTGATCTCCAACTCTGTGGATTCCAGCATCACTCATTGCTCCATTCCGTTGCCCTCGTTTCATTCCATGGAAAAAAGGTGGCATCGAGTGAGGATCAAAGGACCCCGGATTATACATAGGCTGGCTAAAGCTTTCGTGGTAAGGAACAGCAGGAGTTGCCGTCTGAGTTGCCAGCATTGCCTTCAGTTTTGCGACCTCCGCACCGAGAGTCAAACACATATCACGGAATGCATTCCGCTCTGCAGCTAATGTTAGTGTCAAAAGACGATAGACAAGACCCACTATGATTTGCTTACCTTCTCGAATGGATCTCAGGTCCTCGACTTCTCTCTGGGACAGTGCCGAAGTAATTGTTGTCGTTTCATCTTTCATCACTACTTTGCTCTCTATCTCGTCAAGCAGATGCTTTCTAGAGTCGTGTTGCCATTGGAGATCTTCGCTTCGCCCATCCATTGCGGTTTCGCTGTGTGCACAAGATTCTCGTTGTAGCTCTTTCTTTCCCGTAGATTCAATTAGATGCGTTCGAAAATCAAAATTTCTACTTTTCGATGATGCAATCGGCTTTGCGAGGGATTTGACAGCAACAGCTTTGTAACTTTGTTGCAAGTCTGCCAATCGATGATGGCGTTGTTGAATCCCTTTCTTTAGACGTATTCTATGGTCATCTCGAAAGTTTGCAATGCGCAAGTCCTCCCTGGATCGGCTTTGTTTCAAGCCATCCATTTCAGAGAGAACTGGGGACGATGGAAGGCTCCCAGGCATTGGCGTGTCAGAGAATGTGCGGGATGTTTTCTTCCTAGCTGTGGCAGATGAAATGCGCTCAGGTGTAAGTGCCAAATGTTTCAAGTGCTGCAAATCTGCCAGCGATACCAGGATTGGGGAGAGAGTTGGGGGTGGAGTAATCGGCGCTTGCGGTGAAGGTGAACGACAATTCGAGGAAGCAGAGGTCTCGTCGTCGCGATCTGCCTTCTCAACCTCTCTCACATTTGCACTGGTAATACTCTTGTGAAGGACGACTTCTGGTTCAGGGTCCGTGTCGGCTTTTCGTTCCTTCTTTGTAGCATCATGATGATTCTTACTGTCAAAATCATTCGCATCCAAGGTTCGCTGAATACTAGTATCGTCCGTTAAAATCACCATCTCAGACGCTGCACCAGACTCCTCAGCCTCTGGATCAGCAACAGCCGTGAAATCTTTACAAGTTGAAGAAGATATGGAAGCTGCCGTTGATGCCGGAACGGAGAGCTCATCATCCGACCTATCCTCTTGAGACAAAAAGAAGTCTGTAAGAATGCTGCGTTCGCGGCCCTGGTAGGGGTTTACAAAAGGCCACCCATTGATTGGGTTGCTTTGACCTGTCTGTCCGAAAGAAAATACTTCCAAAGCATCTGATTGATACAAGCCAGACGAAAGTAAAGTCTGCGAAAATGTAGGTTGAATGGCAGCGGAGCTGTTATCTTGAAAGGGGTAATATTCGTTCGTAGATGGCCACTGGAACGACAAGGGAGATTGCATGCGTTCTGTTGCCAGCTTGGACTCGAATGATATCATTTCGCTTGGAGGTGTTGCGGCGGGGCTTGGGGATGGTTCTTCACTTCGACCCCCTTTACTATAATCACCACGAGAGCGGAAGTATGGCTGCTTCGATTTGGTCGATTCATTCTTCTGCCCTCCACCGCAGAGGTCGAAAGGCACTGAGGGTTCCAAGCCAACCTTAAGAAAGGCCTCCTCTACAAAATCGTCTAGAAGTGAGAGGATCATGATAATGTTGCGACTCCTTAGTCGGGGGGAAGTTTGATTGTCGGGGAAGCTCAAGATCTTTGAAACCGGTTCATCAATGGATACCATGTCGACGTGCTCACTGTCGATTATTTGCACCGGAGTCTTCTTTTGATCAGTTTTCTTCCTACGCCCCTTGCGTTTCTTGTTGTTGGGTTTTAACCTTTTGCTCTTTCGTGCGGAGTGGGCATGCCGCTCAAGTGGTTCGTCAAGGAGTGCCTTCTCCAATTCCACTGACAACTCAAGCTCAAAGCTCGTCCGAACAAGAGCATACAGCTTTTGCTTCGGTTTTGCAATTTCCAGCAATGGAATGTGCACCAGGGCACTGTGGACCGAATTCCAATCACCACCACGGAAAGCTAGGCCACTTGTATTCATGGAACACCACGAAATAGAGTCCCGCAAAAAGTCCAACGATTTTGCAATATCGTTTTGAAGAGCTTCTTTTATTCCTGAATGCATCGCACGTGTTATGGCAGTCTCCAGGATAGCTGATTCGAATTGGGCTTTTTCGTGGTTGGCCTTCCCATTTTTTCGAAACTTGACCCAAAGCGCAACTTGGAATCTAGAAGCCAGGTACAAGCTGAGTGAAAACCATCTGATTGTTGGCTGCAACCAACTCGAACAGAAAGGTATCGACGAACGATTTTGAGGTCGAAAAAGATGGCCTCTTGACGAGACGTGAAGAGTACGGATTATATCAGCTTGAGCTGATAGTCGATCGGCCTTGAATATCAAGCGAGGTGTTGGAGTCGAGTAGTCAAAATATGTCCCTTGTAATAAGCTTTTGTCTTGTTCTCTCTGCTCTCTCGTTGTCCCGAGACTCCATGACTCTCCCGAAGGTGATACTTTGCTACGTGCAATAACGTCGAATCTTTGTTGCGGCCGCCCTTTTCGCTTGATGCTGTTATTCTGCGGTATCGGTATCCACTGAAACATGCGGGGCTTTTTCCAGATTGATCTTTCTTTGCCATGTTCGTAGTCCAAAGTTGGACCAAGCTGTGTGTAGGGCTTGTATCCCAACGCTTTTGGATGTACGGGGGTTTCGAGCGGGACTTGTAAAGCAATCATTTCCTTCAACAAATCGTATTCGTGACAACCGTCAGAAGACGTTTCAAACTCAATCTGCATGGCATGTAAGAGCTCTTGCTTGCTTAGGCTGCTCAGCCATTTTCGAAACAGGTCGTGTTCATGGGAGCCCTTCGTTTCTTCGGTTCCCTCAATTGACATTTCTACAAGTCAAGATCGTTTCCGGCTATCTTATAATCGCAGTTATGGGTTTATGATTGATTGTATGGACGAAGCCAAGACATGCTCTTTGAAGAGTGAGTGAAGAATTGTCAGTGCAGTCAAAATATTTCACATTGAACATGCATATTCTCTGATTCTCCTTTATCTTATCTTCAATAATTCAATCTGATCGTGAATCGGAGACTCGTGACTCCAGCCCGCTCCTCATAGGTCTCAGTCTGTCGGTCAGTACGTGCGCCGGCGGCCCATCCTTCACTCATTTCATTTCTTCACTCCAAATTCTACAGTAGAAGATGGGACAGATGAGAAAAGCAAGGACCTCGAGGAAGAAAGTTCGATCGAAGAGACGTGATAGTAATTGGAAGAATCCAGCTTCGTTGGATGATATACTTGCAGCGGCAGAGTCTGCCCAACAGGCATTTGACAACGAGCAAGCTGCTGACCAGTACTCGAGGGCAGCATCACTGCTTCGAAATGGACATACGATAGCGTCAGAAACACGAGAAAGTCTTCTGATTCGAGTCCTCGAGAAGCTTGGAGAATGTAAAGTGTCTTTAGGACATCAATCAGGGGCGAAAGCGGACTTTGAAGAAGCAATCGCTATGTTAGAAAACGAACAAGGAGAGAGAAATATTCGATATCACGAAACCCGCTCTAGTCTTTTCTTCTATGTTGGCCAGCTTTGTATGGAAAAAGAAGCATTACGTGCATATCAACAGGGACTGGGAAGTCTGGAAACTTGTGCCAAGCTTGGCGAAAAGCTCAGTTCCGACGACGCGCAAGACAGCCCCGCAAACCCATTGCATGAAGTCCGAGCGAAACTCTCTGGAGGATACTGTACCATAGCAGAACTATACCTCACTGATTTGTGCTTTGAAGATAATGCGGAGAGCGAGTGTGAGGCATGGCTGACTCGAGCTTTGGAATTACGGGATAGGGATGGAGAACCATTTGTCGATGTACTTCAAACAATGGCCAGTCTGCGGCTTTCACAACAAGCAAAACAATTGGAAAGTGCGGAATACATTCTAAGAGCATTCGAGAAGATGAAAGTTGGATGTGATGCACTAGCTTCCTTAGTGGGTCTCATGGAAAATGGGGACAGCACAGCCGTCGCAGAACAAGCGTTGGAGTTAACGAACGTTGATTCGGTCAACACCCTTCCAGAATTTGAGTTTCGATGTCAGACAGCTAAGTTACTCTTGGAGTGCGCTACTTTAGTTCGAGACACACCAGGTCTCACAGAAAGCCAAAAGGCAGCTGAACAACAATGCGTATCAGCTGCTGTTTCTGTGTTGGGAAGTCTATTGGCTCAAAACGACGAGGTTGTGGAAATCTGGTTTCTAGCAGGCTGTGCTTTTGCCCTGAAGAATCCTTTAACAGTTGATGCTGCTACATATTATCTTGAACGTGCGATGGAAATGTTGAAGAAGGTTAGAGAAGTTCTTGAAAGCAATGCCAAGGTCTGTTCTGGTGACCAGCTGACTGAGGTCAAAGAGGAACTTGAAGAGAACAGGATTCAAATGGAAGATGTCCAAGGCAAAATCGACGAGCTAATGAGTGTTGAAACTGCAATGGAAGAATGACCTCAATTCTTTGAAATTGGCAAGATATAATACGTCTGTTGAAGTTGTCAACCATGGGCGTATAGTATCATAGAATCTTCGAAGCAAAATAATGGCACTAGCCTTCACACTCTATTCACAGGCAAGAGTGAGTCTAAAAGATATTGCGAAAATAATCGTGCATGAAATTATCAACTGTGGAAGTATCATAAAATTTTCAATTCAGATAGATGCTACTAGCTTTCATACGCAATGACCATAGGTCGAGACTCTTTTTTAAAAGTATGCGTCGATAGATTCCACTTGCGACACGCGACGAATTTCCAATGCTGTCTTTGTTGGGATAGTGGATCCTTCTACCTCAATCGAGGTACCATCAATCTTCGTAACCTTGTATTTCTTCGGTGGCTCACCGAAGAGGTCTCGTGCTCCAGGATTGTGGTACGTTACAGGAATGGCTGCAAACAGCTTAAAGCTTACGATGTGGTTGCCGTCCTCGTCGAAATTTGGATCGGAATCGCTTGATTCATCTTCGAATAGCCACGACGGCAAAGCTGGAACAAGTTCCATTTCCACTTCATTCTTCTCGTTGAGAAAGAAAGGTTTGGGTCCAATGAACATGAGCTTCCACATGTCCATGAACTCAGCTGTGGAACCAGAGAGACGAGCCAAGAAGCCTCGCCCATGTTGTCCAGGATCCGGGAATGCAGAAGAGGCAATGAAAGAAGAGCATTCCATTAGCGGTCGACCATAAATAGTGGGATCCATGAATGGTAAGATGCCACCACCCTTCATCTCAGAAAAGAATTCCGTGTACATTTTGCCTCGGATAAGTTGCAGATAATACTTGTAAGACATGTGCATCCAAATGGACTGATTTTCAAGCCAGCCAGGTGCAAAGGCAATTTGACGACCCATGTCGAAAGTCTCCCCAGCCAAACTGGCAGACAAGTAGTACATGTTCAATTCTTCGTCTCGAAGTCCTGATTTGAACACCTTCAAATATGTGTCTGTCATCAAATCTTCTTTGTCTTGGATAGTCTTCATGTATCGCACTGGACCTTCCAAGAATAAAGGAAAGATTCCAACCTTCATAGCCTTGGCGTTGACTAGCGCAAGACCGACGTCGTTCTTGTTTCCATTCAATTCCCAGTCAGTGACGTCATACGAGAAAAAAGATGGGGCAATACCAGTTGTATCTCCCTTGCTTCCAAATTTGAAAGATCGATCAATTCCCTTTTCAACTTCCGCCAACCAACGTTTGATCATAGCTGACACCTTTTTGGCCTCAAAACTTTGTGTCTTTCCAGAGAAGTAGTATTGAACATCATTTCTATAGTTCTCACGAGCAGAAGCAACAACATCCCAATACTTGAAGAGAGGCTCTGGAACGTCGAATGGGAGATCTTCAGGATCAGTGTATCCTGTTGCTTCGAGTTCATCAAGGGCTTCCTCGATCGTGGCAAGCATAGTTCCAAGTTCAACAGGAAGCACTACATCCCTATCATACTTGTCCACAACACTCTTAACATATTTCAATAGCAAATAGAGCTCATGTGTCTCTGGCATTCCGCTACCAACCATACCTACAGAGCAGAACAGGAGGTTTAGTACTAATCTTTGTCGCAAAAACAATGCTTTGGTCAAGAGATCTCACCTGGAAGCCCATTCATACTATCTAGCCAACCTGGACGGCCGCCTTCATATTCAATACCCATACCCCAAGCGTCGCGCATAGCGAACTTGACAGCCCCGAGCAAGAAAAGTTTTGCAATTGGGGAACTTGTGAACGCTTTCCCCTTGGTATCTCGCTGCCAATTAGCGTCAATGCCGAGGAGACCAGTGTTTTGATCACGGAAGGCTTCTTGTTCTTGGACCTTCTCCTGGTCAAAAAAAGTCGAGCCCAGTTGGATAACATGCTTGTGGGTTCCGTCAAATGTGTAGTCCAAAACATATTTTTTGCTACGAGGTTGCACAGTGGCAGTTGAAAAAAAGTATCGAAGCTGGTTGTCATACATCAGCTCCTCCTCCTTGTCGGGATAAATGGCCAAATATGCCTCCACCAAATCAATGTAGTAGTCCCAGTGATCTGCCCAGTAGCCTTGGCCAAATACTGCCATGGCGCGATCTTCAGCAGCCGCAACAATAGGTTGGATGAAGCCGTCGTTGTCCAAGGTTCGGTTGATATTCAACTTTTCACAAAGCGTGAAGAGCTGACCAGGGCGAAAGGGACCGCCCGTGAGAACTTCACTCAAGATTTTAGCACTAGATGCATCAGTGGTAACTTCTTTTGCAACCTTTTTGGCCTTCTCTGCATCAGGGAACAGGTAGACAACAGCTTCAACTGTCAATGGTTCGTACCCATCTGCCTGAATGTAAGAAAGGAACATCTTAATATTGAAAGCACCAGAACGAGGAACGAATGTTACATCGTTTCTTCTATTTTGCGCAATATCACGGTAGTTTCCAGGCCCCTGCGTTAAAAAAGTTAACTTGTGTGAGACCACTGTCCTTGAAGAGAGAAACTTTGAAAAACATCCGGATTCTGCTTACCTGCGAAAAGAATGCAGGGTCAATGCTAAAGGCATTGTAGTCACGTTCCAAATCTCCATGGATACGAGAGAACGAGTGGAAGATCTTAACCTCGCTGTCTTCGTCATAAGTAGCATCGGAGTCCACATTTCCAAGCACAGTTGGCATACCACCACGAAGAGAGTTATCCAAGAACATTTGTTGTACAGTACCATCGAACAGAGGATTGACAGTGGTAGTCTCCACACTTGCGGTGAGTTCGTCGATCAACGTGCGAGCACGTACAGACTTTTTGCTAATGAAACCAGGAGATGTGACAATTTGGGCCAATTCTGGAACCTCGGAAATATGATCGGCTCTACCGTAGACGGAAGCAATGGTCACGTTTTCGCCCGGCTTGAGTGTCACCTTTCGCACAGCCGCAAAAGCGGAACTGGTTTTGGCATCTCCATATTGAGGATTGTCCAAGATTTCCCCGACACTAGATGCCATCAAACCGTTTGGATTTTCAAGGGAGGTGGACTGACCGAAAACCTTGTCGACGTCAAAAACAATTGGGAGCAAGGTTGCACTTTCATCGAGCGATTCGATGAAGGAAATACAGTAGTGTCCATGCTCCTCAATTTTCACTTTGGCCTCATCGGTTGGTTCTGTGGACATTTTGTAAAATGGCATGGTCAAGGACTCTTCATCGGCTTGATAGACTCCCATCCAACCTTCCAGAGTACGCCCCATTTGTTTCAAGCCCCAGTCAAGTTTTCCACCACTGGGTTCAATCTTTGCCAGACCATCCAAGATTTCGAGTTCAACAGCATCCGATCCAGAGTTCGTGAGTGTAGTTCGACGAATCAAAGAAGCAAAATCTTCTTCGGGCAAGATGAAGTATTTGACGTTGGTGGTCAAACCATGAATTCCATCGATCTCTTGAATTTCCACTTCGTTAGTACCAACGTACAAGATGCGCTTTGGTTTGTCGGTATTGTCGTCCTTGTCCAAAAGGTTGCGTGAATTCGCTGGAGCAAAGGGTTCCACATCAAAGGAAGTGGAAAGGGCTCCAGTTCGAGTTCCGCGGACAAATGTTCGGAAACCAAGGAATGGTGTCACTTGATACGCCTTGTTAGCAGCATTGAACTCGAGAATGGGAAAGTCTTTCGAGGTGGTTCCAAAGGTAGAAATGGCTTGTCCGCGATTTACGTAGAAAGCCCAGACAGGCTTACCAAAGTATCCAGCGACACCGGGAAGAAAAGAAGCGAAGGTGGACCTAGCATCATAGTCTTCCATAAGGAAGCGGCCTATGGAAAAGAATAGGAAATTCATTAGTGAACAGATGTCAGTATTTTCCACAATCGATTGGCATGGCTAGCCGAATCATCTCCGGCATTTGCATTGAAAATGCTAATCACTACTTACGATGTTCATCAAACAACTTCAGATTTCCGGTCTTGCTCTTAGGCAAGTTAGCTTTGGCAACTGCCGCATCTGTAGCTGCTCCGGGAGTCTTGTAGAAGGCAGATTTCCCAACGGCGAGTAGAATTACAGCCACTACAGCTCCAATAATCCACTTCTTAGCGCCATTACTACTGGATCCACCTCCATTGCCGTTTGTAGGGATCGACTCATATTGAACCCCTTCCTTCTGATAACTGGATCCGTTTCCAGCCATGTTGATCTGTCTGAATTAATCAAGATTATTCCAAATCAACAGTAAATGATGATGACCAAATGGTTGGTCGAAATCTTGCATTCTCGAAGCGAAGCATTGCGGAAGATTCAATCCGAAGTAGAAGGCCCCCTTCGCAGGGAGAAACGCCCGGACTTTTCGCAATGTATGGCGATCGAACGAGCTTCCACAGTAAATCGTTCGACAAAAAGAACATGTCCTTCAGGGTCCAAACGCCGACGACCAGTTGGCGAAGAAAAAGAAGATACGGGGAGTGGATGGACAGACAGAAGATCTTTCTGCTCGTCTTGCTGCAAAAAGAAATGATGTCGATCTTCCGTTTTCACGTACACGTGTATCGGTACGACGACACCGTACTGGTACGTACTACCATCGTACATAAACGATAACTATGCATCCCCCGTACTGAACAATGATGTCCCCCCAAAAAAACAACTGAAACTGAACTCCGTTGAATAGGTTAATGAGGGAATTGGGCAGTACGAATTTAAGTGCCTATTCGTTTAGTTCAGTAGAAACTAAAATTTTGTTTCACGACAGTGATGTACTCAAGTAATTTGGGTACAAATACCGGTAGCTTCGTATCGTTTCTGCCATCAACTTGAACAGGTTAAAGACTACCATACCATTCATTCGAGCCAACTTTGACCAGAAATCCAGAAAAATATCATGTCAGGTGCTCCTGGTGGAAAATCCTTAGAATTGATGCAGCGGCGGATGTTGAGTGGACAAGCTCCTGCACCAGCTCCAACAGCCCCTAGCGCTGCCCCTCTTGCCTCTACTCAACCCCCACAAACAACAGGACAGCAGCCACCTGCTCAACAGCCACAAGTTGGAGTGTTACAAGCCACCAATCCAGCTCCACGGCCTGGAAAATCTGCTGCTTCGCTAGTGGCAACCCAAGCAAGGGAACAAGCCACTGTAGCGCAACAACAACAACAACCGAAACAAGAACAAGCTCCAGCACCTAGTCCTCCAAATGGTCGACCAAAAGGCAAAGACTTTGCTGCTATGGCCATGAAATCGAGAAGCCCAGCACCAGCTCCAGTCGCGGCACCAGCAGCTCCGGCTCCGGCTCCAGCCATTGCTCCGGGTGGAAGGCCGAAAGGCAAAGACTTTAGTGCCATGGCTAATCGTATAGGAGGAAGCCAACCTCCCTCTGGAGCACAACCCTCGAATTCGCACTTACCGCTAACGCAACGAATTCAATTTACTCCGGAGGAAGATGAAGCTCAGAAAGCAAGAGCTCGCAAGATGCAAGCGGCTGCTAGAGCAGCTGCTGGACTCCCTCCACTCGAAACTCTTACAGCCACTTCAGTAACTACTATTCCTCCTCCCATATCACCCCCGAAAGCACATACTAGACCCCAACCGGTGACACAAGACGCTCGACATTCTCTTCAATTTCAAAAGCAGCCACAGCAGCAGTACATGCAACAGCAGCCGGTGCCCAACCGTCATCAGCAACAGCAGCAAGCCATGCGACGAACATCTCCCAGCGCTAGAACCAAGGTCGAGCACGCAGCAGCTTACGCACCGCAACCTCGCATGACGGCTCCACCTGTGGAAGTTGAGGGCCGGCTAAGCAAGGCTTCCAAAGGAAAGTCCGCGGCTGCGGCAAGAGCCAATTCGTCATCTCGTACTACTAGTAGTACGCCTGCAGAGAAACCAACCAATGGAGCGCCGCACATGGCACCTTTGTTGGGAGATCGCATTCAAGACATTTTGAATGCTATTGATCCAAATTACGTCATGGAAACCGAAGCTGAAGAGCAAGTGTTGCAATTGGCCGATGATTTCTTGGACAAGGTGATTCGACAGAGCCTGCGTTTAGCCCAACACCGCGGGAGCAAGTCATTGGACGTTCAAGATGTGCAAATGATTTTGGCAAAACACTGGGGAATTGTTATTCCGGGCTTGGGATTACCCTACATTCGTCCGTTCAAAGCTAGTAAACAGAGTTCTAGCAAGTCGTCGTCCAGCGGGGGACAGTCCAATGCGAACAAGCGCAAGGGTCCTGCGGATTCGGCACCTGGCAATCGCAAGAAACCAAACATGGCTTCTGCGCCACAGGCAAGCTAGAAGAGCACTTCAAGTGACTAACAAGGTATTTAAACAATAGCAGCACCGAAGCGTATGGGAACATGTAAACGACATTTCATTTGTATTCATTAGACTATGAATTGAAGTACCCATGGTGCAGAATGATTAAATGCTTGGACTATAGAAAACACAGTGATGCGAGAATACAGCAGAACGGGTATCTTCCTTCCAAAATAAATACACATCTGCATTGCCTCCCCAAAGCAGTGCAGGAACATTGCAAGTAGTGGTATGAAGGCTCCTTAGAACTTGGCCTTCTTACCCTTTGTAGACTTGTTGATGAGAGACTTATGGATGTGAGGAATGACACCACCTCCTGCAATCGTGGCCTTGATTAGAGCATCTAATTCTTCGTCTCCCCGAATGGCCAACTGCAAGTGACGTGGTGTGATACGCTTTACTTTCAAATCCTTACAAGCATTGCCAGCCAACTCGAGAACCTCAGCGGTGAGGTATTCCAAGATGGCGGAAGTGTACACGGCAGCAGTAGCACCCACACGGTGGCCTTGGTGCACAGTGTTCTTCAAGAAACGGTGAACACGTCCGACGGGGAATTGAAGACCAGCCTTGGAACTTCTGGATTGTGGTGCCTTCTTGCTAGTTGGTGCCTTTCCACCTTTTCCTCCTTTTCCGCCCTTTCCTCCTTTGCCTGACTATAAGATTTAAAAATTACCACTATGAGGAATGATTGATCATTGTTGCAAGAAACAAGAAAGTGCATCATTGGTAGGCCTAAACCTCAGGATTTCATCGCTTCGCAACGGCTTTGTTTGGCTACGGAGAATAACCGAGGTTCTCCTGGTACCTTAAGTCCCATTTTCTTCCTATCTGCTTATCTCATATAGGAGATAACGCATCTACAATCTAGACTCGGTTGCAAACTACGTACCATGATGAACTAGTTGGTTGTATTGACGATGAGCTTCCTTGACGGGATGTGTCGAGTGTGAACTGGAGGAGATGGGCGCACACACTTTTCAAATCGCGCCGGGATTTTCTACTCTATTCAAGTACTACAATTGCGTACGTAGCTGAATGCTAAAATCGTGCAGCACTTTTTAAAAAGGAGCTAGTAAAGTTCTTTCGTTCGAATTGGTCAACGATGCGCGACATGCGAAAGCGCATACATGTCGGTAAGTGTTGGTGACCGATGTGTGCTATGTTTTTCCTTCACCGCCGACGGCCAAAGTGACGACAGGGAAGACGTACTGCTTCCAATCACATCACATGGTTTTGGGATACAAGCAAAACTGCATCGATGAGTCGCATGAATTCAACGAAATTTTGTGAAAGAGAAGAAGCTATGAACGGTAAAAGGTAGCTATAGCTACATTGGTTAGCAAGCTACCAATACGCAAATGAAGAGCTAGAAATGGTCGGCTTTAGATGCCAAATAGAAACGCGAAGGCCAAACTTGGAAGAACAGTGCTTTTCAGAATTTAATATTATGGTCAAATTTTCTTTTCTTAAAGTTATTTACCAGTCACCTCCAGCAGCGGCGGCAGCTGATGTGGTTTCGCCTCCTTCCCAGGAAGTACCGTATGGAGCGGCATCAGCAGGTCGGAAGCTGGCATCAGCCGGGGTTTCCATAGCAGCGGGCTCCATGGTCTCAGCGATAGGTGCTTCGTAAGCAGGAACAGCAGCAGTTTCTTCAGCCTTGGCGGCTTGTTCTTCCTCGCTCTTCTTGAGTTCTTCAACATCACGGTGGAAAAAGAGATCGACAGGAACGTCCCAGTCGGATGTTCGGCTGACAGATCCTCTTAGGCGAAGGATTTCACGAGCGAGCATCCAGTAAAGAAGACCGATGGAGAATTTACCCTTGTTGTTAGCAGGGATGGCAACGTCAACGAACTGCAAAGGCGAATCAGAGTCACAGAAGGCAATGACAGGGAGGTTCACGTAAGAAGCCTCGCGGACGGATTGCGAGTCGGTTCTTGGGTCAGTAACGATCAACAATCTGGGTTCCCTGAATTGCTTGGTTATCTGGTTTGTGAAGGTACCAGGCGTGAATCGTCCAGCAATGGATTGGGCTCCAGTATAGTGAGCGAACTTGAGGACAGCACGCATACCGTATGGACGCGCAGAGATGGCAATGACATCCTCAGGGTTTTCGATAGCAGCAATGACGCGGGCGGCCAAGATCAGCTTCTCCCAGGTCTTTCCGATGTTCAAAATGTGCACACCATCGTTACGGCGACGCCAGATGTACTCCTTCATGGAATCATCAGAATTTCTGGTTCCGGTGTGGACACCAGCAGATAGCATCATTTGGATGTCCTCTTCCTTGGGCTGGAGGATAGGGGGGAGGGTAGAAAAGGAAGCCATGGTTGATTAAGTTGCTAGGTAAAGAAGGTGTGTGTAATCACGGTTGCAAGGTTTGAAAAGAGAACTGTAGATCCGGGTTTTCAAAAAAAGTAAAGCGGTAAGCAACTTTCAACTTGGTCGACAGTCGAACTGATCCTATGAAAGTCTCCCCCTTTGAAGAAGGGGCGCGATTCGCGCGCGCCACCGGATTTGATCGCCACTCAAGGAGGAACGAAAAAATGTTTTCTTTTCAGTGGACACAAACCATCACAAACCGTCTTCATCATGCCGAAGGCAAAGAAGATCCGTTCGAATGCCCTTGTGTCTCAGCAAGTGAGACATGAACCTCTTGGACAGGTGATTGAAGGTGACGAAATGCGTGGAAAATATGCAGCTCCGAGCCGTGGAAGGCGCAAGACAAAGAGTGGAAAAGATGAGGAGGAATTCTTGGATGAGAAAACAAGCAAAAGAATCTTGGATATGACGAGAGATCAACAGAATACAATGGAAATGGAAGAGCGTGCAAGAAGGCAAAAAATGATGCAACATCAGCAAGCAGGTGTGGTAGACAGTGACGAAGAGTATGAAGATGAAGAAGAAATTATTATTGACGAAGAAGAGTAAGGAACACAGTTGTCTTTTGCACAGAAAAATCCAATCCGTCGAGTCTAAACTTGGCTTTTTAGCTATATTGAAAACGATCAAGGGTACATTGACATCAGAGACGGGGCTCTCGGTTTGTCGGCTGAAGACGAGGCAATTGTTGCAGCGATGAACCGAAATAATGTTGTCGAAGAAAGAAAGACTTTGGCGGATATCATCATGGGAAAGATTGCCGAAAAGGAAGCTGAACAAAAGGGGAAAGTTGCGGTTGACGAAGAAGAAGGCTTACCTCCATTGCCTGACAAGGTTGTTGACGTGTACACCGATATTGGAAAGATCCTAAGCAGATATACATCCGGCAAGCTTCCAAAGGCATTCAAGGTTATCCCGTCTTTGAGTAACTGGGAGCAAGTTCTTTATCTGACGCGACCAGATCAATGGACACCACAGGCCATGTACGCAGCAACTCGCATTTTCGCTTCCAATCTAAACCCAAAGATGGCCCAGCGATTCTACAATTTAGTTCTTTTGGATTCAGTCAGAGCCGACATCTACAGCCAAAAGAAACTCAACTATCACTACTACATCTCGCTGAAGAAGGCAGTTTACAAGCCCGCAGCATTCTTTAAGGGCATTCTACTCCCTCTTTGTAAGGAAGAGTGCACACTGAGAGAGGCAGCTATCGTGGCATCCGTGTTGCAGAGAGTCTCCATTCCAGTTCATCATTCGGCTGTTGCCATCCACAAACTGGCACAAATTTCGGAATACAACGGTGCTGCCTCAATTTTTATCAAGACGCTATTGAACAAAAAGTACTCGCTACCCGCTCCTGTCATTTCGGGCTTGGTCCGTCACTTCGCTTCCTTCTTGGAAGACGACCGCACATTGCCGGTGCTTTGGCACCAAGCCTTGTTGACATTCTGTCAAAGATATAAAAATGAAGTCAAGGACGAGGCACGAGAAGCCTTGAAAGTAGTCATGAAAAAGCACTTTCACCCCAAGATTACGCCAGAAATCCGTAGAGAGCTTTTCGGTGCACAAGCGTGGAAGGATGAAAGGAGCGTAGCAACAAAGGACCAGATGGTGCTTTAAAAGTTCTTATTTGTTGTAACTTTGTAAGTTTGAATATATAATAAGGCCTAAATATGATGATTTCTTCCCTTTCTTTCGTTGGTAGCTCGAAACCAGAGAATGGATCGTCGACGGCGCTTTCCAATTATGGAGCGCAACAATTTTCGAGAATACTGTCACGCAGAGGCTTGCTTACACAATCGTCATCCAAGTATACCCGACAAAATGCCTTCGCCAGTCCACCACTTGCAACATTACCCTGTTCTTTTCCATCAACTGACACGCCGACGCCGCTTTCAGGGCTACAATCGAATTGCAGGACGGTTCCTTTGACAGCAGCTCCTTTCTCTGAAACGCCCGAAAAGATCAGACCCTTCAAGTCATCGACATCAGAGGAGACAGAATGGCGAGGAGCAACTGACTCAGCAATTGCACTTGCCATCTTTTCCGCTCCAACTTTGAAGTTCATTATACTGCATGGGGAGGGAAATTAGAATGAGTATTTGATGGAATGCATTCCATATGCCAACAATTTCCAGCTTACAGGATGAATGATGTGGGATTCTCTTGTGCACCCTTACAAAGTACACTGATGGCTTCCTTTCCTCTACCAGCAGTTCGTGAAACTGTGGACAGGGTCTCGCGCACAACTTCAGAGCAGTACATTCCAACTGAATACACCTTGATGGGACCCTTCTTTCTGACACCTACGCCAAACAGGCCCAAATCTCGCAGCTGACCGGCAAATCTGATTCCAGTGGGCTTGTCTGTCATGTCCGCAGTGCATGGTGGGGCGATGAGAAGAAGGAGAATCGAAACGATGCTGTAAGCGTAGCCACAAGAAACCATTGTAATTGGTGAAGTTGTCAAATCTTTTGTGTTCAACAATAAAAGGTTAGGGAGATTTTAAAAAACGGACATATTTTGGTAACGGAAACTTGTTTAGTATGAATGTCCGCGGGTTCGCTTACAGCAGAATGCCCTATCAAACCAAGGATTGATCAAACACAATTCTTAAAATTCTGAAATTCTACATTCCATCTTTTCCAGCCATCAGAACATAAAACTCGGAAACACATCTCAAGTGTTTCCTCACCATCATGCCTAGTGCCACTGTTCTTGGATTCGGAGCAAGAGCTCCAACTAAGGTGAGATCACCATAACCGCAATTGTCCGACGTATGAAATTTAAATCCGAATCTGATCCTCACGACGGTTCCAGCTCCTTGATCTTCTATCTAAAGCTTCTTCTGAATGTGGGGTCCCTGAAATCGTCCCTGACCGTTCCCAAGCCATCGGCCACGCTCTCCTCAAAGTGCCTTACCGAACATTCCTATCAAATGGTGGTAATGCTGATGGGAAGATTGCTACAAGATCACTATTGGTATACTCACTTCCAACAACCGAGACTGAGTATATCAAGTTTTGTTCAGAAGCAGAGTCTGTCCGATCTAAAATTCTCTCCGGCGACGATTCTACAGTCGTGGCTGCATTCAATGTACCAACGGATTCGTTTGTCGGTGGATCCATTGAAGACATTTTGTCTGCTGTATCTGGTGACAACGAGAAGAAAGCAGCACTTGCCGCCGGTACTTTGCAGACCCTCGCAGAACTGGACAAAAAGACAGCGGATAAGGTTGTTGCCTCGTCCGGCCAGAAGGATGTTGTAATTGTTGTCGGCTCAGGTGGCAGAGAGCATGCCCTTGCAGTTGCCCTTGCACAATCGCCGCTTGTAGCGAAGGTGTTGTGCTGTCCAGGAAACGGAGGCACAGCGGCAGAAGAAAACACGAAAATCGAGAACCGTGGCCCAAACCAAAATAATGATACTGTCATCGAGCTTGTAAAAGAAGTTGGTGCCCGCATGGTGGTTGTTGGACCAGAGGCTCCCCTTGTTGCGGGGATTGTGGACGAGATGAAGGTCAAGTGTCCCGATGTGCTGTGCTTCGGTCCATCGCAAGCCGCTGCCGAATTAGAAGCGAGCAAGGCATTCACCAAGGACTTCTTGCAAGAACATGGGATTCCAACTGCAAAATACAGAACATTTACAGATACAGATGAAGCAATCAAGTATGTCGAATCATTGGAAGAGAATGATAGGCAGGTTGTAAAAGCATCTGGACTTGCCGCCGGGAAAGGGGTTTTAATCCCCTCAACAAAAACAGAGACTATAGCAGCAGTAAAAGAAATCATGTCAGACAAGGCATTTGGGACCGCAGGAGATACATGTGTAATTGAGTCTTTCTTGACTGGGCCTGAAGCATCATGTTTTGCTTTGTGTGATGGCAAGACCGCTGTTTTGATGCCTGCTGCACAAGACCACAAACGGGCTCTCGATAATGACGAAGGCTTGAACACTGGAGGAATGGGAGCTTATGCGCCAGCACCTTGTGTTACTCCAAAGTTGCAAACAGAGATTGAAGCCATGTGCAAGACCACTGTTACGAAGATGTCCGAACGTGGAACCCCATACGTGGGACTTCTTTATGCTGGAATGATGTAAGAATCCGTGTGATTCGTTTGATCATTTGTTTTCACTGTTTTCACATGATATCTTCTCTTTGCTAGGCTGACTCCTGATGGCCCATACATGTTAGAATACAACTGTCGATTTGGTGATCCAGAGACTCAAGTCGTTCTACCACTTCTAGAGACTGATCTTTACGAAGTTATGACAGCTTGTTGCACTGGCACCTTGGGAGATATCGATGTCCGATTCAAAGAGGGTGTGTCTGCTGCAACTGTTGTTTGCGCAGCCAAGGGTTACCCAGAGAAGTATCCCAAGGGAATGGAAATCAAGGGTCTGGAGGAGGCAAAGCTGATCGATGACGTGAAGGTATACCACGCTGGAACGAAATTGGATGACTTGGGCGTGACACGTTGCTCCGGAGGAAGAGTTCTTGCTGTCACTGGTTTGGGTTCAAACCTGAAGACAGCTCTACTGACAGCATACAAGGGAGTCGACAAGTTGGATTTTGTTGATACTGATGACAACGGTTTGCTTCACAACAGAACCGATATCGGAAGGAAAGCGCTGGGGAAAAAACTCCGCATTGGAGTTCTTGGATCAACCCGTGGTACTGCTCTGATTCCAGTGATGGAAGCTTGTGCCTCTGGGAAACTACATGCAGAAATTGTTGCAGTTGTGAGCAACAGATCTGCTGCCCCTATTTTGGAAAAGGGGAATTCTCTTGGAGCAGCAGTTGTTTCGCGCTTTGTTTCTGCTAAGGACTTGACTCGTGAACAATACGATGCAGAATGTACGGAAGTTCTTTTGAGTGCCGGGGTTGAGTATGTCGTTCTGGTGGGATACATGCGCATTTTGTCCAAGGCATTTTGCGATTTTTGGGCCGGTCGATGTATCAATGTTCATCCTTCGTTGCTTCCCTTGCATGCTGGTGGGATGGATTTGCAGGTGCACCAGGCCGTTATTGACGCTGGTGAAAAGGAGAGCGGCTGCACTATTCACGAAGTTACTGAGACTGTTGATGGTGGACCGATTATCGTCCAAAAGAGGGTAACAGTGGAATCAGGTGACACAGCAGAAACGCTCAAGGCAAAGGTCCAGCAGCTGGAAGGGCCAGCTTTTGTCGAGGCAATCGAGAAGTATTCAAAGGGGAAAGTCATTAGTTATGCTGATTCAGGTGTTGATATCGACGCCGGAAACAAGCTCGTTGACATTATCAAGCCGTTCTGCAAGGCCACTCGCCGACCGGGATGCGACGCCGATCTCGGTGGTTTTGGCGGACTTTTTGACCTTGCAGCAGCTGGATTCGATGCGCGGGAAACTGTATTGATTGGCGCAACAGACGGTGTGGGAACGAAGTTGCGAATTGCTCAGACAATGAAGAACCACGTCACAGTTGGAATTGATCTTGTTGCAATGTGCGTTAATGATCTCATTGTCGCTGGTGGCGAGCCTTTATTCTTCCTAGATTATTTTGCCACTGGTCATCTTGAAGTAGCTGAAGCTGCTGCTGTTGTCGAAGGAATTGCAGAGGGCTGCATGCAGGCTAGTTGTGGGTTGATTGGTGGTGAGACTGCCGAGATGCCTTCGATGTATGCGCCAGGTGACTATGATTTGGCAGGTTTCAGTGTTGGTGCGGTGCAAAAGGGAAAGATTCTTCCCCAGGGCGTTGAAGTGGGAAACGTGTTGCTTGGTCTTGCGAGCAGCGGTATTCACAGCAACGGATTCAGCTTGGTTAGAAAGTTAGTTGCCAAGGAGGGCCTGACATACGACAGCCCCTGCCCTTGGGACAAGACTAAGGCAAGGATTGGAGACTCGCTATTGACCCCCACGCGCATTTACGTAAAGTCATGTTTGCCACTGCTGAAGAAGGGATTGGTTAAAGCGATGGCTCATATCACTGGTGGAGGTCTGCTAGAGAATTTGCCTCGCAGTATTCCTGATGGAATTGGTGCCAGCATCTCAGGACATCCCAAACTTCCAAGTGTTTTCCAGTGGATGAAGGAAGCAAGTGGTCTCGATGACAATGAAATGTTAAGAACCTTCAACTGTGGAGTTGGCATGGTTCTGATAGTAGACGCCAAGGATGCAGATGAAGCAAAGAAACTTCTTCTCGACGCTGGAGAAAGTGAAGTATATGACCTTGGAAAGCTTGTCGAAGGTGATGATATTAAGGTGACTTCAGCTCTTTAGACCACAACAGTGGTATGCAAAGCAAATTACAATGCGCCTCCGCACACGTACCGGTACTGTAGTCTTTTGTAATATGAGTAGGCAAGATCCAATGCTTCCACGTGGAACTAAATGCTTTCAGTCACGGAACAAAAACTTTTCGGTTAGTTGCAACTTCACGCCGTTGGTCTATCAAAGATGGCAGAAAAAAGCAGCAAGGCTACGAGATCGATTGTATCAACATCATGTGTCTCGTCAGTTCTAATGGGATTGTATGTTGTAATGGCATGTTTCAATTTGTACGCTTTGATGTACCCTCTTAGCCGAATTGATCTTACAACAACGCCCCCCGAAGGATTCGTAAATCCATTGTGGTCAAAGGAGGAGGAGATCCAGATGAAGATTTATCTGTCTACGAAGAAAAGCTTTGATAAAAGCTTCCTGATAAATGAGTTTGGTGAGGATGAAAATACGGGTGTTCGTACCACCGATGTTCATACGACGATGTTGTGGTCCGACTACATGAGGTCTGCTTCGATGTCAAAATCGTTCCTTCTGACCACGTTGGATTGTAGCGATAATACTACATGCGGGTCTGATGACGATCCTTCGATGCGACAGGCTATTTCTTGGTTAGACGAGTCTGATAAGCAGATGCTTGAAGACAAAGGAGTCATCTCCACACTGTCAGGTGCTGGACAGGGTATCGAATCCACTAGTCTCTTGCTGTCGCTCTACGAAGCAATTGCCACACAAATGCGGATAACTCCAAAGGTATCCTCCTCGGTTGATGATCGAAATACAGCTGAAAATGGAGGGAAAAAAGGACTACTCGAACGTTCCGTAATACATTTGCCACAAAATTCAGCCGTGTGGATGGCGCTTGTTGGAAACTCGACTGTTTATGTTCATGTCGTTGTTGCAAGACAGCAATACAATTTGATTGAGGCTAATACTCTGAACGAAGCAGTGTCAGCAATTGGAAGAGCATCCAACTCGCACTCCTTGTTGCTCGGAAAAGTCGGCCTGGTCAAGCACGATGAACCCAATCACATTACAAAACCAAAGCGTATTCTGCTCGATGATCTCGTTTATTGCGTCCGGAAGTATATTCTTCAGGACAAATCACAGAAATATCCACCATGGGATATGGAGCATGCACAGCCAGAGTACTATGAGACGTACAGCACAGCTCAGCGTATGAAGGCCAAGCATCAGGGATACCCATTCTTCAAGCCGGAAGTGGCCATCAAGTACCTTGTATGTAAACGATTTCTTTTCATTGCAGTCCAACCAATCTTGTTCTAACCATCTCTCGTACGTCAGATTGATGAAGACTCGTATCCTATGAATCTTGCACATGTGTCTGGTATGGAATTGGTCCGTGTTGGCAAAAGTCAGATGCACCCGTCAACGGTTGCACATATCCCGGCGTTGCATGTCGATGAAATTGGCTTGACATCAGAAAAATATATCCCACTGAACCAAACAATTTCAAGTTTACCTCTTCGAGTTTCGTTTGACAGAAGTGACATGGAGGAAGATGACTACATCCACCGATCTACTGCGACGGCTGGAGGAATTAGTCCTGCTCGTTGGCGTCTTTTGTCGCACCTGTCACAGGCTATCGAGTCTCAGAAGGAATTCGGGTTTGATCAATCTGATATCGACGACTTGCGGCGTTTAATTGCGGATACGAATGTGACCTTACTGGGAATAACAGTTCTTGCAAGCGCACTGCACCTGTTATTTGAGTTCTTGACCTTCAAGAATGAGGTATCATTCTGGCGGAATAACAAGGATCTCACTGGACTAAGCGTCAGATCGTTATTTCTCGATATGGTTGGGCAGTTTGTTATCTTGCTTTTCCTGATCGAAAAAGAGTCATCTCTACTCATGACCATACCGAGTGCGTGTGGTGTTTTGATTGCAATGTGGAAGTGCAAGCGCGCTTCTGGCTTGTCTTTGTTAAAGGCAGACTTGTCCAAAGCTGCATCAAAATGGAACCAAATCCCTCGGTTGTTTGGGTTGGAGGTGCGGGCAACGCGTTTGGAAAATATGAGGAACGGAACCGAGAACAGCAAACGGACGTCAAAGGATGATTTACACGCACTGACGATGGAATGTGATCGAATCGCGACGTCAACTCTCTCTAAATTTCTGGTACCATTGGTAGTAGGCTACGCGCTGTATTCCTTTGTTAGCGAAGAACATTCCGGTTGGTATTCATGGTTCATCACAACGGCATCCTCTGCAGTTTATGCGTTGGGTTTTGCATTGATGTGTCCACAACTCTTTTTGAATTACAAGCTGAAATCTGTGGCCCATTTACCGTGGACCGTGTTGTGCTACAAGAGCGTCAACACCTGTGAGTTCCCTACCACTTTTGAGCTCTACAGCGATGCAATCTGACTAATTTTGCTTGCCCATTTCCCTGTTCTATTCGAAGTTATTGACGATCTCTTCTCATTTATCATCCGAATGCCAACGATGGCTCGAATTTCTTGCTTCCGAGACGACATTGTGTTCTTTATCTACCTTTACCAGAGATGGTTGTACCCAGTGGATGATTCACGACCAGCGGAAGGAGGTGATGGTCCCAATACTGATACGGTTACAGAATCGAAGAAAGATCGATAGAAGAAATGGATCAAGGACCTGGAATTCGTCTGTTGAGGCCCATCCAATCCTATCTATATTAATTGGTCGTTTACGATTATCACGTAACTCTGTGCTTTTCCGGTCCATACTGGTTTACAGATGGATCAAAGTGAAAATAGTCGATGTGTTGCTCGTAGCCATCGACAAGCTTTGTTGGGTCAGCAACTCCCTACTTTTAGTCAGTCGGCGAAAGGTGCCATCGTACTCACCTGTTTCAAACATATAATACACTTACCAGTCAGTTTCACACATATTCATTTTAAAAACGCCCCGGTTCTTATGTAAAAAGAAAGAATCGTAATATTTAGTCTTGCTCTGTTGGAATACAGCGTCATTAGAATGGCTGTGAGGTCAAGATCCAAACAATGATGGGCAAAGTGATGACCAACATTGCACTCCTTAAATTTAGGTGATTCCAGGACTGTTCGTCTTTTGTTCCAGAAATCATATTTTTTGTTTCTGCGGCCAATTTGGAAGGATATTGTATGATTTCGTGTACTTTCTTTGCAACACTGTTCACCATTTTGGACGGGATAGATTGAACTTTTTGGACCCCTGATTCCACTTGTTTTAGAGCAACCAGTCCAAGCAACGAGAGCAATCCTTTAATAGGGCTGCCCAAAAAAATTCGAATGACAGCAGCTGTTTGGGTATTCGCAAACCCACTGGCAAAACCAACAGTGCCGAAGGCAAATGAGGCCAAGATTAAAGGCGACGATATTAGTAAATCCAAGCCTGGAAACTGGAGAAATAATAGAGAGCCCAGCAGGGCTCCGAAAATCATGCCCCCAATCAAACCAGCAACGGCATCTGCAGAACGAGTCAATAATGTAGACCCGTTCGTTTTGGGTAAAGAGAGCGACGCTTCCGCAACTTGAAGCGCATTCTCAGCTTCTAGCAATACATCGTCGATGTTGATATCCTTATGTTGACCTGCATCAAGCTGCAACTGAGTAGGGTATCTTTCCGGATGCTGCAAAGGCGCAAGCTGGTGAGAATAAGAAACTGCTTGTGGATGCCATGCGTGACAGAGGGGTTGGCCTGGTAGCGAGCGGTAGATCAGCATGAGTGTGAATCGGTTTCGTTTCTGTTTGTGCTGGCTGTGTGATGCTGCTGTACCAGTACCAGTACCAATACGGTGTCATATTATAAAAAAAGAACGATCGATTGTACTCGTAGTACAGTAAATGATTGATTGACTCAGCGGACTGAAATGCCCTGAAGGATGACTATTCAACAATGCACTTGAAGAACATTGTTCAATTCAACACTCAACGATCTTCAATACTAATACCTCCATATTAAAATACAATGTCAAGCCCTGTCATGGTTGCAGGAGATCATATTTCTCCACAGCAACAGGCAAGTCAATCGGAACGAAAGCCTGGATGTAAAGATCCAATCTTTGCAGGTAACAGTTTTTTCTACCGTATGAATATGTTCTTGCAATTTTTGTATGCCTCACCCTTTGTTCAATTTTCGCAGTTTTGTTATACGTGAACGTTGCAGGTGAGGGGGGAAGTTGACACCACTGCGCATTGCAATTTTTGCATTGTCTCACCGTTTACTGTGCATTGCTACGTTGAAGCCATCATCGGTATTGCTGCCACCATGGGCAAGGATGCCTTGACTTCCGCCTCAGACGGAGGTTCCATTTATGATTATTCTGGATTTATCTACGCCGGGGTTGTTATCAGTCTCGTATCCCTCGTCTTTGCCGGATTTGCCCTTTTGATCGTCATGAAGTTTCCTGAAACCGTCATAAAAATATCTCTAATTTTTGTAACAATTCTCGCTGGGATCTGGGCCGTCATGGCTTTCCTATCAGGTTCAATCATTGGCGGAGTCGTCGGGTTGCTTTTCTTTGGCATCTCAGTTTGGTACGCAAAGGCCGTGTGGAGCAGAATACCCTTCGCAGGTAAGTCGGACGTTTAAGGGTATCAGTACCCAACATATTTGTCAGTTACTCGTCAGAAGAGTCCACGCAATTTGTGTCGGCACTCGCAAATATGACATTCGACATTGCTTCTCTTTTACTGAACCCATCTTTTATTACACTAGCCTGCAACCTCAGTACCGCGATTACCGCAATACGGCAAAATTTTGGTAAGGCATCAGTGATCGTCTCATCAATAGTTGTGCATTGCCTCACCCTACAGATTTGAAATTACAGGAGTTGTCCTCTTCGCATATCTTTTCCCAATTCTTGGAGTTTTCTGGGTGATCGTTTGGTGAGTCATGCATTACTCGCTGCTTTGTTGCAAACATTGTGCATTGCCTCACCCTTAATTGCAAAATTTGCAGGCTAGTGGCTTTCCTAGGTATATATGATTCGATTTATTCAACCGGTTCTGCAGACGGTAGCAGCTCAAGCGGAGTTGCCTACGGGTACTTATTCCTCATGTTCTTATCCATGTTCTTCACTGAACAAGTGCTAGAGAATTGTGTGCAATGCACTATCAGTGGTGTTGTTGGAACTTGGTGGATTGCGCCCCAAGACAACGGTTTTTGCTCCGGTGCGGTTTGTGGCTCTTTCATACGAACTGTGACTACTTCTTTTGGTAGTATTTGCTTCGGAAGCCTCCTTGTAGCCATCATCAGAGCCCTTGAGTCGCTAGCTCGTTCGGCGTAAGTTTTTCAAGGTTGATTTCAAATCTTGTTCTGTGAATCCAACGAACTAATAACACAGGGGATCCCGCTTTAAAACAGACGAGAAAACGGTGACGCCGGAATGTAAGTTTCATGTTCGACTTAAATACACCGTATCTTTTTTTTTGCTAACACAAAAAATCCTCTTCCAAAAGACTTGCTTGTATCGCAGAGTGTCTTTTGGGGTGTCTTGCTGGCCTTGTTGAATGTGAGCCTTTTTCGTTCCAAAATGTCTATACCATTGCTTATGCTAACACCAAGCGCTTTCTATCATTTCAAAAAAGACTTCAATAAATGGGCCTTCGTCTATGTGGGAGTATATGGCTACGGTTATCTCGAGGCTGGAAAGAATGTTATTCAATTGTTCAAGAATCGTGGATGGGAGGCAATTATTGCTGATGATCTGTAAGTCTTTGTCTGAGATTTGCAAATATCGAGGGCACACTTCACCCAACTCAATCGTCCTCTCTCTCCTGCAGAGTCGGGAATGTTGTTGGTTTAATGTCTTTTGTTACAGGCGGCTTCATGGGCGGTATTGCCGTCCTATTGGAATCCAATACTGAATGGTTTTCAAGTGTTCCCTCGGACGCTCCAATCTTTGCGTTTATATTGGGTTTCATACTTGGTACCGCGATCACTGCCATCTTATTGTCCACCATGGCAAGTGGTGTCAATGCTGTCATTGTCATGTTTGCCGATGCGCCAGCGGAACTTGAACGCAACTACCCCGAGATTTCCATGAAGATGCGCGAAAAGTGGAACGAAGTCTATCCTGGATCAGTCTGATCTATTCTGCGAATCGTCACATGTCGTCAGTTAGCAAAGCAACGCTTGATTTCTGTGTCCGTTTGGAGCTTAATGTAGAGAAGTTGAACAAGGAAACTTGGTAATTAATCATAGTCGTCGTCATCTGGAACAATCTCGAGTGTTGGATTAACAGTACTCGCGTTCTTGTGTTCTGACACAGCGATTGCAAAACCGACTGTTTCCTCGTCGTTTCTGTGATTGCCCAAAACTGATTTTACTTTCTTGATCTTTTTGTTATTCGGCTCTATCAAGGAATGACGCTTTGCCTTTTTGGTGGGAAGGTAAGGTGTTTCCATGCGGTTGGATTCCTTTAAGCAATCCACAGAAGTTTTCAAGAAATGGAGCGATTCATTCGATGAAATGGCCGACCGCAAATCTCGTAATGTGATGCAGTCTGATTGTTCAGTTGTTCTTGAAGATGTAATCGAGACCAGATCCTTTAGGAAGAGCACAGCTGTGGTATCAATCATTCGAACATTCTGCTGTGAAAGTCTTGCGATTTTTGGTTCTTCCCTAAAAAGTAGCTTCTTGGTTTTCTCGTGATCCAACAATGATATTGGGTCGAAAACGGTATCATCTGTATCGTGCCTATTGTCCTCGGGATGATTCATGACTGTCTATGTACCAGTATGTTGTTTCGTTTGTAAGTAAAAATCATTATTGGATTGATTCATTCGATTAATATTTCATTTTGCACACTACAATATCGTTGTACGGTACCAGCACTGGTACCCTGCCTGGTACTCTGCGGCTAAAATCAACTCCAAACCATTGTAGTTCGGGCCTCGTTCTCATTGTTTCCCGCCTCTACGTTCTTAGCCGACCACAATTCTGTTCAATAGCAGGCGAGTAATTTAAACGGTCTTGTCCGAGGCCTGAATATTTTTCTTGCCAGGTGCTGGACATAGGTCTAACATTTCCTTGTTCCGAATAAGGTTTGAATACGGATCGCTGCCAACTTTCGACCTGTGGAGCTCAAAGACAAACGCACCTTTTTGAACCACTGGCTTAGTATAGGATACAATTTTGTACAGGCCGTCGTATCGGTACTTTGTTCGTTTGTCCTTGTGAATGGACTTTGGAATAGCTCTGTACCTACTCCTGTACGTGCTTGACCGAAAAACTCGGATCGGCAGACGTTTGTTGTAGCTTTCGACCAGCCCTATAGCGCCTATTCTTCCCTCTGCAGCATACTCCAAGAACCGAAAGTTGTCTTGTTCAAAGTTATCTTTTCGACGGCCACTGATAATAATGGCGTCAGCGCCTGTTTTTCTGTTTCCACTGATTCCACGCTGTTGCACTCTATGGGCATTCAAGTTGAACAACTTTGATCGAGTGTATAAATGACCTTCAAAGAGTTCATTGATACGGCCAAAAGTTTGTGTCGGGCGGGGTTTCGCGGAGAGATTTTTGCACGGTCGTCCAGAGTCACGCTTTACAAAGACTTCATCCCCAGCACGAAAGACAACTGAAATGCGACGCTTATCGGCATGGTCTTGCTCTTCCTCATCCCTATTCCTTTTCGGTACGGAGTGCAAGTAATATTTCTGCATTTCGCCATCCATTACATAACTAAAATGCTTCAAATGAGTATATTCCAAACAATTCCAGCCTTAAACCAAGCTTCACTTACGCGTCTCCGGCCCTCAGTATTAGTTCGATTTTCTCGTCACCATCTTGAAGCTTCGATTCCTTCGGATTTGGAGTAATAACCACTGGTCTTGCTTCATCAGGAGAAGCCAATACGAGACAGAGGATTAACGTTTCTCCCTGATCATTATCCGCGTGTCCTCCCATGCCATCCTTTGAATCCCGGTACAGGACAGGACTTACGCCGATATTCCACCTGTCAATGCCACTGGCAGCTGCCAGCTTCTTCGACAGGCTTGCCAAAAGAGGCGATTGGCTCAGCGGCCGTGCTTTGGTCGTTACTCGCGCGTATCTATACCCAGGTTGTAAGGCAAATTCATCACAAGTCGCTTTGTCATTGAGAAGATAATGAAGTCTTGGTTCATCTTGGCCTTGGACTTTGTACTGGCGAAAAAAACCGGAACTCAAAATTTCCTCCAGAAGACTTTTCAATTCATCTTCTGATAACAGATTTGGATAAACTTTCAAGGTTCCTCCCCTGCGAAGCTTGTGGCAGAATGGTGCTTGATACCTGTTTCTAGCACGTCTATTCCTAGCAGTTGGGATCGAATAAATCTCGGGCGGTGTCCACTGGTTCCGATCCCCGGTTGCTGTCCTTACACATCCTCGATGACGCCTTATCGTTGCAAGCTTGCGTCTACTGCCTGCGGACTTTCGAATCTTTTTCGCCGACCTGGCCCCGTCGTCCTGTACGAGTGGTGCATTGCAACCCCTATTTTGATTCGTCGTACAGTGAACATGAGAAGAAACAGCGGAAATGTCAGCTCTAGGCTCAGAAATTTTTGGCATTGGTCCATGGTGGCTGGGCTCGGTGACATGAGCTTTCTTCATAGCTTCTCTTGATGGAGCGAAGATACTATTGCGAGTGAGGGTATTGTCAAGCTTGATTGGCTTTCGTTTCGCCGACCTGGCCCCGTCGTCCTGTACGAGTGGTGCATTGCAACCCCTATTTTGATTCGTCGTACAGTGAACATGAGAAGAAACAGCGGAAATGTCAGCTCTAGGCTCAGAAATTTTTGGCATTGGTCCATGGTGGCTGGGCTCGGTGACATGAGCTTTCTTCATAGCTTCTCTTGATGGAGCGAAGATACTATTGCGAGTGAGGGTATTGTCAAGCTTGATTGGCTTTCGTTTCTTTACCATGGCTTTCTTTCTTGCAGGGAACGAGGACTTGGACATCCTTCCAATCAGTCGTTAGAGCTGCAATGCATTGCCCAACTATGCTGAATGTCTTTCGTCTCCTGATTAAAAGCTTAGGCTTTTCAACTATTCAAAGAAAGCAGGATAGGATATTCTTTCAATCTTTGTTCTAGGGTGGTACGGTTCTAACGGTAGATTTCCAAAGTCATTTTGGGTACCAGTACGAGTATGGTAACAGCAGGAGTTGGAAGTCATTGGTCTGAGCGGATGCATCTTTCATCGATTATGATTCATTCGATTGCTCATTGTTTCAAAATTACGAGTACTTCTGTAGCCGTTCTTGCTCGATGATTTGTGTTGACTACAACTGGTGGGTCACCACACACTTCTGCTCTTTAACACACACAAATGCTTATTTAGAATGGTATCAAAAACGGCCAGTCCCACCAAAGAATCCTTTTTGCAGCTTCCTACAGTATCTTTTCCTTTGTTGTCCTCTTACCCAACCCTGTACACGTGTAGTCCTACCGGTACCTGGTACCCGTAGTAATGTACAGTAATAGTTTTCGAAAGATTTTTCAGTGCGCAAATAAAACGCGCGATCATTGAGCAAGAGTAAAATGACAACCGAGAAACAAAACAGAGCCAAAACGTTGTGAATGCAATGATCCCACCACCTCCACCACCGAGAAACCAGAGCGCTGGTTCATCAGCACCAATATCTCGACGTGATGTGCCCCGGTCTAGCTACGCTTCGGTACCTTCACCTCCAGAAATTCCATCAAATCCACAGGAACGGGAACCATATGGCCAGGTCAATTCGACGTCACACAATGTCTCACAGCGACGAGCAAATAGTAACTCGGCGACATTAGACAGCGCACCCACATATGGATATGGGGCAGCTTCTTCAAGCTCGTATGTCATGCCGCCGACCAGCTATGCCAAACCACAACCCCCAGTAACCAAAAGGTCGTCTATCGCCGCCGATAAACCTTTGCTGTATCGACATAACTCGCAATCCTTGACGGCACTGTGCACCACGTTTGCCTCCCTGCTGTGGTGGCACGAGTCTGCGATTATAATACAAATATTTGCGTTCGTTGGGCTTATTCTTTATGGCATGGACTTGTGCAATGCTCGTGATTCACTCGCTGTGTCAGTTTGGATTGCAGCATTTGTATTGACAATGGCGAGCGGAATTGGATCATTGCTTTTAGTTGATGACGCAGATGCAGTTGGAGTGAACATGCTCCTCTATTTGCTACAGCTCCTAGTTGAGGGCGTGCTGTTCTTTTCAATGGTGAGCGACTTGCCACGATTCGGCACGTTTTGCTGTCTCTACGAAATGTTGCTCATACACTTGTTGTGATTTGTTTGTGATAAAGGCTTGCTGGATTACCCTACAGTTTCAATGGCTGCATATCGATATGCCAGATATGGCAATGAATATGGAACGGTCCCTTCATTCACTTATCCCGCCGATGGCTGCTGCAATTCTCACCTGCCATTCGCTTCGGTTGCTGCTTGATTCATGGGGAATTGACAAAGTTGCGATTTTTGCACCTCACCTTTTCGCCGTGTTGATGGCATTGGGAATGTTAGCCCTAGGATGTCGGAGATCGTCCTACGATGTTACTCCCAGCAACCCAAACCCGCGCTATGCAATCAGTTCATCCATTGCAAGAATTCACTCCGTGTTGCTTCTTCTGATGCCGGGAACAATGCATGTTCTCAATTTTCGTCGTCGAATCTTCAGTCAATATGCATCTCTTGACACGGCTTTTGACCTTATTCTTGTTTGGATTGTTCCTTACCTGCTGCATTGCTGCATCTTGATTTTTGTCGAGCAGTCGCCGTACGAAATGCGAAACCAGATTTTCCCGAATAGAGGACAGAAAACGTTGCAAGGGACTGCCGTTCCAGTCGGTGCATCTATTCTTGCGTCACTAGCGATGCAACAACGCTACTTACTCCCTCTTTGTCATGCGATATCCTACCGTTTTCATGGACACAGCTCAGCGTCAACATGGGTGTTGTCGACTTATTTGACCGTTTCGACAATTTGTGCTTTATTTGCCATGTGGACCTGGGGACGGCAGTCAACCGTGACGAATGAACCATTGTTTGGAGAATACCACGAGGATGTGGTTCAACTCAGTATCTGTGCATGCGGGCTTCTAGCCGGAAAGGCTTTTGGCATGCCCTGGAATTTGACGCCACTGCCAACTCTAGCATTTCTGGGACTCAGCATTTGGTTCTCTACGAAGATGCTGCGATATCTTTGCATATTCCTCTTCGTGATATATGCCACAGGAGTAGTCCTCTTCACATATCGGTTTGCTTCCATAGACTTGACAGTCCCCCTTGTGGTTCCTGGTGTGGAACTTGGGCTGGTTCGGTTTGGAGAACTGGAAGTTTTTGCTTCTTTGTTCATTGGGTTGGTCGTTGGATTTGCTGTCCGACCTACAGGAGGAGTGGGAGCTGATATTCTGAAATACATTGATGTTCCAGGAATTTGCTTCATAGTTTATGTCCTACTTCTCGACGCACTGGAATTGACCTTGCTTAAAAGGCCCGCCCCACTTGACTATGTTGGGCAAGAGTTTATGGAAGGAACAGATGGAAACGGATATCTTTACGACCACACGGCAGTTTTTTTTACCAGTATTGTGGCTGCGGGGGTTTCATCTCTTCTCAGACGGACAACTGTGATCAGCAAAAAATCTTCGGTCATTGTTGTGTCCATCGCAATCGGTAAAGCAGTGGCTGCATTTATTGATATGAACGAACAAGACAGCAAGGTTAGGAATGACCCACAGCAAAAGCAATTGGCACACAGAGCGTTCTACCGATCTATATGCGCATCCATCCTATGTATTGTAATGCTTGGTCCGAGAGCTTTCCTCAGTCGAATATACATCAAGAGTAGCTCTCGGTACAAGAGATCAATTTCCGATGGCCGTCAACTCGGCTCTGTTCCAAAACGGGCATTCCAATTTGTGGTCGTATATTCACTTGTGGTTCTTCCGTTTGCTCTGGTATCCTCGGTGCCCATGGTTTTGACGCCTGTAACGATGGTTGTTTCGAGTCACTATGAAGGTGGGGCATATTACGCCATGGCACCACCTGTATCTGAGATGTTTGGATTCGCCGTCGCTTTGTGGGGAATGGCCTGCTTTTCAACATTGAACCATTATTTCCCCGAAGGTGGTTGTGAGACTTGGAAGAAGGTTGCTGCACTAGCAATTCTTATGGGGGCTGGGATTGCAGCTTCTGCGCCTTCTGTTCCCGAATGGTTGGGAGGGGATAGTGGATTTGGCGTTTCAAATCCCTACGCATCCATATCAAGCTTGGGCAGCCGTATTGTAAAGCAACGAAGGAGTCGCACAGGTGGATGGGGGATTCTGCTTGCTTCGCTTGCAACCCTACTTGCAATTACGGGGCCACTGGAACTTCGTGAGCGGAGACATCCCTCCGGACGAAAAGACAAGAAGCTTCTATTTCGGATGATGGTTTTCAGCATCATGTTTGGCTCTGGAGTTTCATGGTTTATTACCGTCCAATGCATGGGCCAGGCACGTCCGTTTAGTATGATAATTACCGGCGTCTGCTCCATGGTTGTTGCATTCTTTGGAACAGTTACTTGCGTACTTGGTTATTTTCTGGAATTGGAAGGGTTTGACGAAGTTGAACAAATGATCACTATCAGCTTTGGATCTTTTTTTATTTTTGGTACCGTTGCTGGTGTTCCGTCTTTTGTTCTCTCGTCTTTTGCAGGTCATCCATTCGGCTCGGATGGTTGGCTGTTTGCCTACCTATCCGTGAGTTGCGTTGTTGCGCTTGCCCTATCAGTAATGCTGAGGATGCGACAAACGAAGGATCAAAACTCAAGGGGACTTGGAAACCTGAGCTGTATCTTTGCATATATCTTGGCCACCATATTGATCTATGGGCGATTTGGAGTGGCTGGAGTAGACCATGTCTTAGACGTACGAGCTTTATACGGAATTCCAGCGCCAGTCTTGGGGACTTTCTTCATCTCTCCCATCATGCTGTTGTTGGAGGGTGAAACATGTAATGAACGAAGAAGTCGGGTGTCCAGAATATCACGCAACACCGCAAAGCCTGCGAACAAGGCTATCGGAATCAACTTTCCAAACCTCACTCGATCAAACCAGTTTGTACCTCCTCTGGTGGCCTCGATTTTAGTATTTCTTGCAGCTTCTCTCTACACAATATTCTTTCGTGGGGTTTTCTCGTTGGGAGGGGCCGAAAAGAGCAGCGAAGAAACGTTGGCTACAGCAGGTACTCTGATCTCCATGGCGCAAAGGACAATATCGCACAATAAGGCAATGGCCTTCGCCTCAAGACTTGGCAACGCAAGTCTCTGGACCGCGACTACTATGACAGGTCCAATCATCCACATTTTTGGTCTAGTTGCGACGATGCCCAGTCTGTACCTCCTTGTATCCGGAATGTGGTATAAACGCAACGTACCAAAAGCGCAAGTTTCGCTCTTTTTGCCATTCAATCTTATACCTGTATTTTTCTGCACCGGGACACCCACGTTGAGAGCTGTTGGCATAATTTGTATGGTTGGTGGTATTTTGCAGATCACCGAGCTGAGTAAACAAGGGCATCGGTCCCAGATGAGAATGTAGCAGCGCTCGAACCGCTGTATCACGAACAAGATTCTACGAAAGTAAGAATACATCAAATAAACAGATCCAAGCACTTTTAATAAAAGCGGACTAGGAGTGGCCATGGTGTAAGTAGCAGTGCAATACCGTACCTACCGGCGCAGTCCGGTGCAGTGCAGTATGCAGTACCGAATTTTTCTGCATTTGACTAATGCGACCGCTTAAGTTTGGCGCCCCTTAGCACCACTTTTCTTTTTTCGGCTCCCTGATATCGTGGCCGTATCTTCTTCGTTGGTAGAATATGTACTCGATTCACTATTGCGAAATCATAGAATACCGGGGTTCAACAATATTTTCCTTCAGTAGGTCACAAGGCGAGTACAGTATCGGGACTCTCCTCCTGCTTTAGAACATCTATACAATTCTGCGATACCGGTAGAGTACAAACTATGTTATGCCTAAGATAGCGAATGAGTCTTATTTGTACGCAGACATCTTCCAAACTCAACATACAAATGCAGGCATGTAAATAGATACTGAGAGTTCATTGGATCCTTGCAATCAAGGAATTTCTATGTTTTCCTTTACCAGTTTACAATGTAGCTGAATTCGTTTACTTCTTCAAGCTCCCAAGAGCAACTCCGGCACCAGCTGTGGCGATGGTCAATGGGACAAGAAGAAGTCCACCGATCAAACCAGCTGGGAGTCCGATCAATGGAACGTCAACACCGCTGGCAATGAAATAAGCCTCAAGCCCCCCGCTGACAGCGGCAGCAAGGTAGAAAGCAGAAGGACCAACTTCCAATGCTTTGGCTACAACAGGCAGAAGGAAGGGGGCACCTTCAACCAAAAGAGGGGCAACACCGTTGACCAAAAGCTGTTGGTTATTCGCCGCAAGGCTCAACAGACCCAATTCTTCAGCAACAGGAAGCAACTTCTCAACAGTTTCCAAGTCAAGACCGTTCTTCTCCAACTTGGAAAGAACCCCGGCATCGATGGTTGCTTGAAGCAGGTCAAGTTCACGAACGCGACGAATAACGTTGTACTGCAGATCAGGAGCGAAAATTGTTAATTCACCAACCATAAATTTACAATCGCTTCCAAAACTTCATTATCATATTCCTACCTTGCGGTTCAACATGTTGTCTTCCTTGACTTGGTTCATGTATTGCTTGTATTCAGCTTCACCCTTCAACAAATCTGGTTGGTTCTCGTAAGTATCCTCACCAAGACCAAGTCCGAAACTTTCTTGAAGCTGTGTGGCTTGACGAGCCATTCCACTGGAAGGAGCGAAGGCTCCAGCAACACTGGCGATGATAGCAAGGAGAAGGAATTTCATTTGGGCTACTGTGAATTGACAATCCTTGATAGGAGCTGTGGATTGAAATTGATAGAGATGCTACCGTCATTTTCGTTGCAAGCGTTGGCTCGAGGTTGTCGGTCGGTCGAGATGACGTACGTTGGAAATTTGCAGATTTCTGTGACATCATCGTCTGCCGCGGGATTGAATGACAATGATTCCAAATTCCCATAAAATTCTGGTACGAGTATTTTCACTCTTGATACGAAAAACATGATTCTCACCAAGGCGGTTCAATTAGGCTTGCTACTCTCTCTCTTCGAGCATTCAGCATCATTTCACAATCCTAGAATTGTACAGAATAGAAATATTGGACTGAAGATGACTACCGACGACAGCAACTTGATTCTTGTAGTAGGAAGCGCGAACTTTGATATGACATCAACAACCACTGTTTTGCCAACCATTGGTGAAACAGTGATGGGAAAAGACTTTGCCACGGCCTGTGGGGGCAAAGGTGGTAATCAAGCCGTTGCCGCTGCTCTATGTCAATTTGCTCCTGTTGAAATGGTGTGCAGAGTAGGTGATGACCGCTTTGGTGAGGACCTTCTTTCCAACTTCAAGAAAGTTGGCGTTCAATACGACGAAGGCAAAACAGTGCTTCCCGGCGTCTCATCGGGTGTTGCATCCATTGTTGTGGACGAAAACTCGGGAGATAACATGGTAAGATGATTGAACATGATTCTACAACCATAGTCTTGATTCAGTTGCTAAAACGCCACTTTTTGTTTTCAAAGATTATTGTCTCGCCCGGTGCCAACTATGTGTTGAACAAAGAGGATGTCCGGGAAGCTGTATTGAAAGCCAAACCTGCTCAGGTTGTTGTTCAACTTGAAATAATTCCCGAAGTGGCTTTGGAGGCTTTGAAGGCTGGAAAAGAAGTTGGTGCAATGACCATGCTGAATACTGCCCCAGCCCCTGAAGGATGGTCGCTTGAAGATCCTGGAAAGGAATTTTACCCATATGTGGATTTGTTGATCCTCAATGAGACAGAGCTACAGAAGGTGTGCGGTAGTAACGAGGACGACAAAGAAGAGGAATTGGCCAAGTCGCTGCTCCCAAAAGTGGGACGTGCAGTAATTGTAACTCTGGGATCTCGTGGTGCTATGGTGGTGGAAAAGCAAGACGATGGTTTCTCTATTGAGTATGCCGATGCTCCGAAGGAGCTTCCCGCTCGGAAAGAACCAGTGAAAAATACCGTCGGTGCAGGAGACTCATTTTGCGGAGCATTGTCTAGTTATCTTTCGACTGGACTCTCACTGGCTGAGGCTGCTGGGTATGCGTGTGGAGTAGCCAGTATGACGGTTAGAAAGGATGGTGCGCAAACCAGTTATCCTTCTTACGATGAACTCCCTGAGTGTTTGAAGCTAAAATAAGCAGGATAACGTTACTTATATAAAATATCATGTCGAAAAGCAAATTATAAAATGGATTGTAAAAGTTGTTGTTTCTTCTATTCTAGATACCATGTTCTTCATTCATGCGACTATTGAAATCAATGCTGCAGAAGTGCAAGTCGATCAACGTTAAATTGTCTAATTCTGGGGTATGCGATACTCTCCCCGCAACAAATGCTCCTGTGCTCCTACAGTAAGTGATTCGTACGCCCGATCGGTTAAGGTACACACAGATTCAAGCATCCTTGATTCAAGATGCTGAAATTGGAGAAGAACGTCTGTCCTTCTCTCTGCCCCACACATCACACCCATCAACATTCAACATTATTCATTTTGTCGATCATCGAACATCACAGCAACAATATATACAAACCATCAAAACACATCTTTGATTCATGCAATGATAACAGTCAGGAAAAATCATTCGCGGATTCTTTGCACTTTGGTACTGTTGTCGTGCCTCTGTGCCTTCGTACAGCAAGCTGAAGCGTTTACAACATTTTCGAAGTTTTCGTTATCAGGTTTGAAGCAGAATGCAAGGCATCATGGTGAGCTCAAGGTTTATGCACCAAACGGATCCGGTTACGCCACCCCAGAGGATGAAACATCAGAGTTGCCTGATTCGTATGACCCAATGATGGAATATCCCGGAACGATGAGACCTGGACGTACCCCAGAGAATATGCCTTTTCACGACCTTCCAATTGCAGACACAGACCCTGATCCAGTCCCATGGCCGCACTTTCAACAAATTGAATGGCATCACAAGTGGGCGCCGCCACATCCACATCCCGTTCCAATGGAGGAATTCATTGAACAGCAGGGTCGCTGGGCAACTCCAGAACTCGAAGCTGCTATGAGAGCTGGTAATCGTCGGGATGCTCGCCAGAGAAGAGAAATGCAGGAGGAGCAAAAGAGAGACACACTTATTATGGACGACGACGACGATGATGATGACGATAGACCACAAGATCTGGGAGAGGGTATGTTCGGACAATTGGGATCTACGGCGGACGAAGCAATTACAGCAGCTGCTACATCCCCTGACCAGGTTGAAACCGACGAAGCCGAAGAGGAAACTGAAGATGATGACGGTAACCTGGATGATTTTTTGCTTGATCTAGGGCTGGACTCGTTTGAAGACGATGATGACGAATCGGAAGAATCCGGTGATGCTGCAAGTGCACCACCACCATCTGCAACCACAGGGCTCGAAGATATCATCGTTGGAGGAGAAGATGATGATGATAATTCCCCTGAAGAAACACCGACCAGTGGTGTCACTGCATCAATTGATGTGAGTGCTGATGAAGATCTTGATCTCGATCTTGGGTTAGATGATGAGGATGGCATAACGAGCGATGGTGTCTCCACTGTTCCTCTAGAGGACTTTGGGGACGATGATGGACTGGATACAGAAAGCTTCTTTGATGATGGCGGTTTTGACTACGACTCTGGAGGAGACTTCGATGGTGGTGACGTTTGGTAAATGATCTCTCTAATGAATCATTCATAAAATGAATATTACGATATGTTACGGATGACTAGTTTGACTAGCGCAGACATGTCAGTAATGATATGAAAACACAATCTTTCACTCTTCAACATATACATCGACATCACCATGCTTCAGCACTTAAAATGGGTTTCTTCAATTTTCCTGCTACTGCTCACCCTGACATTCGGATTCCAAGGCCCTCAAGGCAGGCAAGGAACAGTTTGCTGCAACCACCATAATGATTGTGTCAACGCCTTGGAAGACATCAAAGTGGAATCACATGGGCGCCGTCAAATCCTGAAGAGTACGGCATTGGTGGCTTTAGGGACCTCGTCTTTGGGTAAAGAAGCAACGGCTGATCAACCCTCCACACAAGATCTATTGCTGCGACTTCGTTCGATTCCAACATTTTGCATTGTGAATCCTGATGGGATACCTTTCATGATATTCGATGGCCAATCGTCAGCTACGGGATACTTCTTCTTGAGTTTTGATGTTGCGGCCCAAGCACTACAGGACGCTCGAAAGAAGGACAAGAAAGGTTCAGAGATCTGGTCCAATGCAAATATAGTAGTTGTTCCACTAGCAGTCGCACTGCAACTTGCATTGCGGAAGACGCAGCGAGAGGCTACAAATAATGGCGCCACGATGGTTACATTCAATGAAATAGTGGCATCTTCGGAGGGGGTGGAGGATGCAAAGGAACTGGATGGAGGTGATAAGGGTAAATGGTCACAGCGAGGACGTGTGCCACTCTTTCATTTTGACACGTTAGTCCTCGAAAATGGAAGAGAACCCAGGTATTTCAACCGAGCGGACCTGCTCAAAGAATGGAACCGACAAAATCCAGATAAGAGCCCACCTCCAGTTCAAGTTTCTAATCTTTTGGACCTCTATCGGGTTTGCTTCGCCAAAAATGACTTCAGTAAGGTAGAACGGTTGGCAATCATGCCGGTTGTGGAAACGAACCAAGTTGCTTCAAGTCTTTTCAAATCATCTGACGGAAACATGCCAAAGTACAACCTTGACAAGGTCTTCTTGGTCGGATCCGCCTAATGAAGTCTCTGTAAAGAGGTCTCATTGGAAAATATAATGGGACAGAATCGACAACGATCGCCGAAGATGTCAAACTTCTGAATAGTGGAGGGGAAAATAGTCAATTTATCAACGATGACAAGCACCAATACAGTGTTTCAATGTACGAATATGCAGCTCAATTCTTCTTTATTCTAAGATTTTGGTCCATTCTCTGACAAAAACTGGCGGACCTTTTCAAAAGAGCGGCCACGGTGACTGATTGAATTTTTGGACTCTTTTGTCATCTCGGCGTACGTTTTTCCTGCACCTTCGTCTGGTTCGAAAATTGGATCCCATCCAAAATCTAGTGGCCCGCGAGGGCGGACAATTTGTCCACTGGTTCTTCCATCAAACAACATGACTAAGAAAGAGTGGAAAAAGACAAACGAGAAAGAATGCAGAAGAATGGAAGAAGAGACAAGTGAGAAGCTGGAATGACGATTGCAGTTGTTGCCATCTTGAAACCATTTCCACTCGTACCTTCTTTGTCCGGCCCCTCTGCATAGGCAACAATTGTCATCGCATAAGCCGATCGATCGTCGAATCCATCCAGCATCTTGTTTAGTCCCTCGTGTCCACACTTCTCCAAGAACCACTTGATATACACTCCTGGCATTGAGTTCAAGGCATTGAAACACAGTGATGTGTCCTCTGTGAGTACGGCGCCATTGACTGCTTTTGCAGCTAAAATACATTTCTCTCTGGCAATATCGAAAGGATCCCCCTGAAGTTCTGGAAGGTCAATTTTGCTATTGGTGAGCTCAAATGGTAGCTCTTCGCCATTTTCAAGAATCTGCTTGACCTCCTCGAGTTTCTTTTTGTTCCCAGTGACGAAGGTGATTTTTGGCTTTGACATATTTTGTCTCTTCAAGCTTGGCCTTGCCCAATTTTTAAAACAACTCAGGC